ATGTACCATTCTATCAGTCAAACACACCGGTGGTCATCACACACCGCCACCACGTCCCCCCCCCCCCAACCATACAATCCTATGCCAGTACCCCCCTCCCCCATATTACCTTTCAAATGCAGTCATTTACACCGGTCTTCCCACATCACCACCACCCCCTTTCCCCTCGTACCCTCCCCACGCCTGAGTCTGTGTCATCACCATAGCTAGTGCCTTCCTCCTAGTATACGGTTACGACCGTTTCAGATACGTGTAACGGTACGAAACGGGGAGTTTTGATTGGAAAATGATTATTGTTTCAAAAAGTTGATTGGAAAATGATTACTGCAAACTTTCGTTGATTGGAAAATGATTACTCCAAAAATTTGTTGATTGGAAATTGATGATTGCCCTAGCTGACAAGTGCCGCACCATACGATGTGGGGACCGACGCCGGCCGTGACGGGGTCAGTGTGGCCGGGTCAGTAGCTGAGCACCGCGGCGAATGATAGTAGACTCGGAGTCGGTACTGTACTACCGTATGGCCCTCCAGGTGATATCAGGGGGTGTGACGACAGTCCGGGGTATGGTCACGTTACTTCAATTCCGACAGTCATCACAACTTCTAGCTAGTCTCAGGATGGGTTTGGAAAATTTTGAAAATTCAATTTCTAGTTTCAAATATCAATGGAGCAGCTTCAATTGGATCACTTTTCGTTCTTTTGGGATCTAACACATTTTAATGGACCCTTCACCAACATTCCAATCGTACCCCTATTTCCTAGGTCTCAACCACCCCCTCTGTGATATAAGGTAGCCTGCGGAATAACTCACCCAACATTTGACCAGCACCAGTACCGGTAGTGCCTCAGGCCTATTCCGAACCTTTGTCGATACCCTACCCTACCCTATGGAGACCCACCCTTGTGAACCACGTGATACCACCCCACCACCCTCTACTTCGGAAATGAAACCCCAACAGTGCTCTTTACCACAGATGCGCCTTTCTTGTTACCCACCCACGGTATGCATGTCCCTTTTGTTGAAGGGTAAAGAGGGGGTGGTCTCTACTTCATTCCGAAACACACCCACACAGGATTTCTGTCTTTACCCCTTTACCTCCCACCCCACCCCATGTATCCCAGGGCACCACCCTTTGCACTACCCCACCCTTCGTGACTTTCTAACATTACTGTTGAAAGTTGCGCATTGACGTGACATGCACTCCATTCCGCATTGCAGCGCCCTGAATTGTTGAGAGAAATGATGGAACCGAAGTCAATCACGACTGTCATGCGTGTTGTTCTGCTCTCTTCTTCTCTGCCTAGCCGGTCTTTATTCCTATCGTGTCGAGTGTGCTTCTTTGCCTTATCACTGCTCACCCAGCATCTGAAGTGATCCAGTCGAATTCCACTGATCCAGTCGAATGCGAGAAGTCTTCGTTCTTGGTGTATCCATGTCACTTACAAAGACACCGTTTCAGTTTGTGTTTCTTGTCTTTGTACTCTTGCTCTGGTTTCCAGCTCTACTTGTCTTGGGACTGCGTGCCTCGCCTGATGGTGCATCCATGATTGAGATCATAGTCGTACAGGGCAGGCATGAGCTTATTCACACGATGAATCACTTGTTACATGTTCCAGAATCTGCGCGAAACTCACATTTGGCTCATTGCTTGCTCGACTTTCACGATTCTCCGCTTGTTAGTGTTTGCCTTTGTTGTGGTTGCGCTCACCGATCCTGTTGTTCCCTGCATGCAAACTGTCTACTGAAAAGATGTCTTCTGTTCGTAGGTGACAGCTAAAATCAGCCATTTTATCGTACAGAATGGGTGTGTTCACTGTAATCAGCAAGTAACAGTCCACTCGTGTTGGTTTTTGTTTTCTGGACATGTCGATGAATCTCACAGCTCTTGACGACATCGAAATCAATGGGGTGGAAAGCGATCATGGAGGAACCAAGACAAGGCAAAGAAAACCTTCTCAAAAAATCAAGAGGGATGGTTTCTCGGGAGAGCTGCACAGGGACAACTCGATTGACGTTGCTAAGAAACGTGCATCAGTACTTCTACACATGCACGAGATGCAAATTTTCGGCCTGCGTGGAAATCCTGTTGTTGTTGCAGGGGCTGTGGTGAGAACACTTTTTGCTTGAATCATTAATCAACTGATATTGATCAAGGTGGCAACATTTATTGTAGTACTGATTGCGGTTTTGGAAAAGAACAATTTCTTCGATTACACTGCGCAGACAAAAAGGTTTCCTTCATTTTTATTTGTTGTCCTGCCTCATTTCTTGCTCAGTTGGGTCACATTTAATTTCACATGGTTCTTTATCGGTGCGCAGAATGTGTGGGTCTTCTTCATAGCTTATATCTGGTTGCGGTAGTCACACTCAATTTGCTTCGCCTTCCCAGTTGCCTGACCGCTTGCCTTCAGTCCTTCGTACGCTTCAATCAAGATGGGAGGCGATAATTCGATCCCTGAATACAATACTGTCACGTGGTTTATGATGATGTTTGGAACTGCAGGCTCTGGTGAGATCATGGTGGTTGTCTTTCCATGTTTCACTTGGCTCCAGGAACGGGACTCGTGTACTATGGTGTTGGAGAACCAATATTTCATCTGAGCTACAACAGATACGTCGCCGAGGGTTACCTTTCCTTCGATCAGATTTCGCAAATTGCCATCAATCTTGCATACTATCATTGGGGGATCCATGTAATGACGTGGAAGGTAGACACGTCGACTCTTGAGAGTAATATTTGATTGCAGGCTTGGATGTGCTACACCATCGTAGGGATCTCTATGGGAATCGTGGCGCACCGCATGGGATTACCTCTCACGATTCGATCCGGTCTCTTTCCTATATTTGGCAAGTACGTGTTCGGTTGGTTTGGAGACTTGGTAGATGCTCTGTCGATCTTCACCACTCTCTTTGCAATCTGCACAAGCATGGGTGTGGGTGCAATCCAGATCAACACAGGGCTGAATTTATTATTCGGGGCGAAACAAAGCAATCTTGTGCAAGTGATTCTCATCGCTCTCATGACTGTCCTTGGAGGAATTTCCGCTCATGCTGGGTTGAAAAGGGGAGTCCGTGTGCTTTCCATCATCACTTTCTGCACTATGTCGGCGCTTGCCTTCATGGTCTTGTTTCTAGACGACACGACCTATCTTCTCAACCTTCTTGTCCAGTCTTTTGGGTATCATATCCAGCACCTTATGGACTTGGGCTTCTACTCCGACGCTTTTGAACAGCTCAACGTTGTGGTAGACAAAAAGTCTGGGCCGGCGGTCTGGATGGACTGGTGGACGGTGTTCTATTGGAGTTGGTGGGTTTCCTGGTCTCCTTTCGTTGGGATGTTTATTGCCAAAATATCGAAAGGTAGGACAGTAAGGGAGATCATCAACGCCTCCCTCACAGGCCCTGTCCTCTTCAATATGGTGAGTTCGCGGCTTTCTCTGCTTCTCCATCCAATCACTCCTTCTCTCTCACCATTCATTCATCCAGGGTTATTGCTGGTGGTGTCTCTATTGACGTTTATTTCAGATCTGGTTTGCTGTCTTCGGTGGCGCTGGCCTGAGGATGGAACGTCTTGCTATTCGCGATGGATGTTTAGGACAGTGCACGAGGATCAATCAGAACGCACAATTCGATCACGGCTTTTGCGATCCTCTACAATATGGGGCAACGAGCATGCAACTTCAGGTTCAGCTTAATCGATTTAAGAGCCTTCGACCAGGTGGATGCGAGTCGATCATCCGTCCTTCGACTCGGAAGCTTGATCAGATGTGGTTCGATGTTCTTTCGCAGTACGAGAACGTCGGAGAGTTCATGATTGTCCTCTCGCTCTTTTGTATGATTTTGTCGGTCATCAGCACCAACGATTCTGGAAGTATCATCCTGAATATAATTGGGTCCAACGGCCCTCATGGATACTCCAATGCCGTACAGAAGCAAATCTGGTCGTTCATGATAGGGACAGTGACGATCGTTATGATTATTGCTGGAGGCAACAAAGCGCTAACAGCTCTGCAGACCGTCATAGTTGTCATGGGACTGCCCTACACAGTGATCGTCTGCGTCCTCTGCTACGGGCTCAAGATTGCCTTTGACATGGAGCTGCATAGCGATACCAACAGAGACTTGAATGTCATTGAAGGAAGATACAACGAACTCACCTCAAAAGACAATGGTATGGAGTTCTGGTCAACGTCAATCCTGAACATGTCAAAGATTGTCGACTTTTGTTTGAGGTATTCTGTAATGTCAAGTGGTAGATCTCCACTGAAACTTGCTCTGCCTCCATTAGTCTGGGCAAGGTAGAGCCTCCTTCCCTTGAAGACTGGAAACTTTTTGCTCTATGCTGCGCGGTAATCATTATTGATCCGACTGCTTTGTTTTTTTTGATCGAACTTACAGTGTCCATGGTATGTGCTTGGGGATTGCGTGAGATTACTGCGCGATGAGAAATGCACGCTATCTATGTTCACGATCAGTCACTCTTCTCATGTAACAGGATTCCTCTCTTCTTTTCGCTTCTGACTCGATGCAGGATCTCGTCATGGCACAACGCTTCATGTTTGCCAGCTGCCTCCTGTTCTTTGCTATCATCATCCTTTTTGCCTTGGTCCGTTCGCCTTGATGTTGACATCGATACTGAAACATGAGCAGGAGGCGTGGAGAGACAATCTCTGGGTGCTTGGTTTCACGTGTTACATGTTCTTTGCTGGTGTGACTGCATTTCGTTCAATTTGCTTGACCTCACTGCATGTGTGCAGGTCTTATTGCAATCGTCCGCGATGAGATCAGGAAGGTCTACAAGTAAGTTTAAACACAGAGTTCATGCCCGTACTGACGGATCTTTCCGATAGCGTTGGAGGAGATGTCATTCGCAACTTGATCGCGTCTGTCTTCTTCCCCTTCACGCTCGTCCAGATGCGACAGCAACTCGATGTTCCCAGACCATCCACTGAATATCGGTATGTGTTTGTCTCCTCCTGCCTTTTCTGTCAGTTTTCGTTCCTTGGTCGTTCTGGTCAAAGGAAACACCCCCCTTTTGGTATTGTTGGGCTGGTCGTGTGAATAGTTTTTCTCATATTTCCGGCTCTCATCACTTTCTTTTTCTGCCCTTTCGATGTTGCGAATGTTTGAAAGGTAAGCTGACTGCTCTGCTTCTCAGCAAGAAATCGGAGTACAAGCTCCCCGACGTCGACTCCTTAAAGCCAATCAACCCCACCAGCATCACTCCCTCCGAGGCTCGCAAGGCATGGGAAGAGGAGTAACTGGTGTAATGTAATTGTTTTGTAACGTAATTGAAGCAGTAGCAACATAAATTTCATGAAATGTTCGATGACAACAAGAGTAGGAATAGAGATTCAGGTTTGTCAACAAGTGCTCGAACCCAAGAAAAATAAGATGTCTTGAAAATGACCGCTGATATGAAAAAAGAAATGACTTATGACCACTCAGATTGAGGAAGATATAGATACAAGAGGGGGTACGGGTAGATACCCTACCCTACATTGATCTTAGAACTTTACTCTTGTCAGCACCGGTACCTCTGTTCAACGGAAGCCTCATGAGGGCATGATATCAGCCCACAAGGGGCGGAGCGTTCCGAGTTCACAGGTAGAGAGTCGAAGAGCAGATCAAGCTCAGAGCAAGCAGCCTACCGCCAGCCAAGCGAGGTGAGAGCAAGAGAAGGGGAAAGTGAGATGTCGTTGACGGACTTGTCGACGATAACTGTTGCAAGAAGCAAGAACGTGATCATTGTCGTGTTTGTACATCAGGTTAAAACTGAACCCATCATGGGCGCTGTCGAGTCTTGTTCGCAAGTTTGTAGACACGAACCGCAAGACGACATAAAAAGTTATCGTGTCCATGTAAGAATGCAGTGATGCTCTTCTCGCTCGTTCGAGGTTCACACTCTAACTTGACGCCACGGCAGTCGATGGAGTCTGAGCCTCAGTCCATCAAGCACATCATCCGCAGCAGCAGCAGTCAAACAAGACCGGGATCAAGTTGGAACATACGAAAGACAAACCAAAACCAAGAGAACCCTGTTGCAAAGATTGACTCCACACTTCGTCTCCGAGCCATGACGAGCAACGAAAAAGAGGAAGCGCTTGAGAAGATGAAAGCATATTACAACGGCGAGGATTCAAGTGGCAGTTCTCCCAAGCCAACAAGTCCTCAGAAGCTCTCACCGACCAGGTCGAGCCGCTCAGATCCTTCGAAAGAATGCAAGGTTCAAATACAACTAGACATGAGCTTCAAGGATGCTGGCTGCAGCGAGAATGTCTTTTTTCGCTCCATCGCAGAGGACTTAGCTCACGCTGCTGGCTGCAATTCTAACAAGGTGAGGATTTTGACAGGTTTTGTATGTCAAGTCTGACTGTCGATGGCAGATCAGAGTGGTGGATATGGGGCAGCAACCTCTGATACTGACCGTCGTTCTTGAAGAAGGCATCTGTCCTCTTGGTCGCACCACGTTGGATGTAGCACGGGACCTCAGGATGCAAACTCTCGAAACCTCATCAAAGTTACTTGAAGGCAAATTCACTCGCCATGTGCAACTCTTCTGGATAATGGCAAAAGACAACATGCTTCCGCTGAGTTTGAACGGATCGTTGAATATTTCCCCAGATCGTTTCTCACATCCTCCGCTCCCTCTGCACGAGACGGTCCAGCCGGAGTGGAAGCCCATGGACACTCGCTATCGCGTGACTCCTTGAGCGAATGGACGTCGATGCAGTGATTGTTTCAATCTGCCATCCGAAATTTGCTTGAAGACTTGTTTACTCCTTCAACCTAAAATACTCACAGAAAGTATTAATCAACATTGCTCTTGATATCACACTTCGGATTTTTCTTTTTTTTCAAAAGCTGTGTATGTCCGGTAAGTGCTTGCTGCAAGTGCCATGGAGAAAGCGACTCGCAGCGTAGCAACACCTGAGAGCTGTCAAGCATGCAACCTTCGTACCCACAAGTTACCTATCTTAAGATTATTTTGCAAGAACACCATCGATTGCCAAACGTTGCGTTGACGAGCTGTTGGATTGCTAAGTCGACGTACCAACGATGGTCTCATAAATTCACCAGCTTTCTTGAAGAGGCCACCAATCAGAGTCATGGTCTTAAGCTCTCGTACACCAGGGGGGCTCGAATACCTGACACACCATCATCGCCTTTGTTTTCATCAGCTGCAAAGAACATGATATTTCTAGCATAGTTGAATGGAGAAGAAAATGTTGTGGCCTGTAAGAAGGTCAAAACTGTGGAAAGCAGGTTGATTTCAGAGTCCAACCAGTGTTGCTGCCGCAATGTCACATGCGAAGCATAGAACAGGATTTGGAGGATGTTCTGCAGAAGAGATACGGCTTGTGAAGTCCCGACGAAGGAACGAAAAAAAACCACCAAAAACCTGTAGAGCTCATCTCATCATTTGCCTGCCAAGTGAATCTCTTTGCTCACGAGATCTCGTCCAACCGTAGGACGAATGCCTCGCAGGAAGGGTCGAATCCCGCCCTTGGCAGCCATCTCCTTCGCCTGAAGAGCTTAAGAGGGAGGCAGTTCGAGCAAGATTGCTTACAGTGTTGAAAAAATGAGGGTTGCTGTTCGGATTCTTGTCCATCTTTGAAAACGTCGCGGCACTTGAGATGAGCTTCAGATTTCAGGTGGTCGAATGTTGTCTTTGACTACTCACCGTATCGCCTGAATGGGGTTGATTGCAGCAGCGCTGATTCCTCCAGCTGCATTGCCTGCCACGAACTGTGCAAGATTTTGATTTCCACAGATCGTTGCTGACAAGCAAGTGAGCAGCGAGGCGGCGTTGAGGTAACCAGAACCTGCGACAGGGGCAAGCGTCTCCTCTAAGGGGAAAAAGATTGAGGCAGATATGATCCTTAGTGCCAAAGTTTGAGAGCTTTCGATAAAACGTCAAGGCGGAGTTAAATATGAGTATCACTAAACTCACATCCCTTGGAACGGATAATTCCAATTGCTTCCATGCAGGAAGCTTCTCCTCTCTGTTTGCGACAGGTACAAGGCGCGATCCCATGGATGAAACACACTTGCCTGTGACGATCAAACTTCAGGATAGGAAGAGTATCCTCAACAAAATGCCTGTACGAGCCCACTGATTGCCCCTCCTTCAATCTGATCAACCAGGAATAAGCATGAAAAAGTCTGAACCAATGCCCGACCTTATTCCTTGCTGAGCGCAACGTGGCGACAAACTGACTTCGTGACGTATCGGGATGAGGTGACAGGATACATGCAGTAGCATCGGAATGGAAACCCCGATCCGCCAGTGAAACTGAAACCAGGCACACGAGCGAGCAAAGTACAGGCATGACCAATCGCGACATCGAGGACAACGAATGTGAAAGGTGGAGGAGAGGGCGAGACATTCGGCAGTTTCTGTCACTTGAAGCTCCAGCCCGAAGCATCATCTCTTCCTGTCACTTGACTCTCCAGCTCGAAGCATCATCTCGTCGCTCTCGTCTTCATCCCTTGCTCATCTCTTGCCAATCGCCCGCATGATCCGACCCTGCCCAACTAAAAACCATTGGCTTGTGCAGACCCGCCTCAGTTACCTTACCGGCGGCCGGCCGGGCCCGTCGCCGAGGCTGGACTCCGGGACTCGGCGGCCGGGCGTGACTCGAGTCACTGCCGGGCCCGGGGCCGCGGCCTGGCTCGGAGTACGGTCCGACTCACGAGTCAGTCGCATCCCAGGCTGACTCACTGTCAGTCCGGGCGTTTACTCAAAGTCGAGTCAACTTAGTTAAAACATTCCGGCGGAACTGCTTCCGAAGAGTCGGTCGCCGCCGACTCGCGACAGTCCGATCCCGGACCGTACCGCAAGCCTTCCGAAGTCACGCACGGCGGCGGTCAGGGTTCAATTGCCCGGCCCGGCCGGGGCCGGCCGCAATCTCACCCTGCCGGGCCGCCGCTCACTGCCGGCATCACGGACAGATCGCCGGCGGCGGAGCCGGTGTCCGACTGTCCGGCGGCGTGATGCCGGCAGTGACTCTCGGAGCCTGTGAGTCAGGCTGCCGGCATCACGGACCGCTGGCCCACTGCCGGCATCACGGACAGCGCCGGTTACAGAAGAACCACGTGGAAGGATTTTTCCGTTACATCCACGTGGCAACCCCTCATCCCCGGACCATGCCTAGCTGTTCGAAGGGTGGTGAAATTTGAGTTGTTCTTGATGATGGTCTATGAAAGCACCTCAAGATCCTCGATGTTTCGATTGAAGGACTATACAATTTCTCATTAGTCTATATTATGCCTCGTATGTTGTACCCCTTCTGGTGCTACACCCCTCCCAAAATCCAAATCTACCATACATCTCCACAAGCGAGCAGACTACCCCCACCTTTCCCTGAATCCCACCCTACCCCTACCTGACTCGTAGTCGTCCTGTTGGATCTCGCAAGAAGTGCCATAATGCGCTGGTCGCTCCTCGTCGTGCTCGTCCTGGCGCTGGGCCTGAGCGTCTCGTACGCTGAGGAAGAGGTTGACTTGTATGAAGGTAGGTGATTCAATGCTAATGCCCTCCTTCTCCTCTCCACAACTGTGTATGCATCATGCTTCCAACACACTCGGCCTGTGGTTAGCCAAGTGCTTCAGTGGAAGAACCGCTGCTGCGCACGAGTGTAACCTCAAGGACGTTGACTGATGGTGTTAGCTCAAGTCCTCCAATTCTTCTGTTGTACCTCAACCTATTATCACTTCTTTCTTGAGAAGCAAATGCATGTCTGCTACCCATTTTGATTGTTGCATGTATTGATGCTTAAGTGCGGGTTCGACAACTTTGTAACGCGCCTTGTCCTATAGTTCTTGGAGTGAACAGAGATGCTGATGCTGCGGAAATCAAGAAAGTTTTCAGAAAGCTGAGTATCAAGAATCACCCCGACAAGGGAGGGGATGCCAAGAAATTCCAACAGATTCAGCGAGCATACGAAGTGCTCTCAGACGAGGAGCTGAGGATGGTGTATGACCATGCGGGCCACGAGGGTCTTGATCAGCACGAAAAGGGACAGAATGCTCCAGTGAGTCCGTTCGATGCCTTCTTCGGGGGGGGACAGCGCGGGGTAAATCGAGGCCCAGACGCCAAGGTAGACATGCACGTGTCCCTGGAGGACATGTACAACGGCAACGACGTGTCCATGTCCATCAAGAGGCGTGTCGTGTGCAGAAATTGCAAGGGCAGGCAAAACTGGAGGAAGGAACATTGCAAGGACTGTGGGGAATGCCCTCCTGAAGTCAAGATGGTGCAGCAGCAGGTTGCACCAGGCTTCGTCGTGCAGCAGCAGCAACAAGTGCCGTCAGAGCATCGTTGCAAGAATGAGCCCAAGGAGCTGAAGATGACTGTAGAAAAAGGAGCGCCGGACGGCTATGAGGTGAAGTTCAAAGGAGCCAGCGAGCAGAGTCCTGGACAAGTTCCTGGCGATGTGATAGTGTCGCTGAGACAGAAGGACCACAGCGTGTTCAAGAGGAAGGTATGACATCGCAAGCGCACCTCACTTTTTCTTTCAGTTACTCTTGCTTTACAGGGGAATGACCTTCACATGACCATGGAAATCACACTTAAGGAGGCCCTTGTCGGGTTCTCAAGAACTGTGAAGCAGTTGGATGGTCGTGATATCATTGTGGAGGAGACTGGAGTCACGGGCCCATATTCGACTAAAGTGATCAAGGTGATGATTCCTTTCTGCCTTTCTCCCTGCCTGCCTCCCTGCTTCTTACAAGCGATCCGGCTCAGGGTGAGGGAATGCCTATCCATGGGTTTCCATCTGAGACTGGCGACCTGAAAATACAAATGAAGGTGAAGATTTTGACTCTTTTGTAGCTTGAGATAACATTCGAGTTCAGGTGAAATTTCCAAAGAAATTAACCCCAGAGCAGGTGAACTGAAGTTTCCAAACTTGGTGCATGGACTGATCCAGATTTGTTTTTAGGCGGAGGCGATCGAGAAGCTATTTGTTTAATTATGTCTCGCCATCAAAGATATTTTTGGTAGCGTGAATTCGGCAAATCTTTGAACATCAGAGTTTGCAAAGAAAAGTGAAAGAAAATAGAATGAATGTTGATGAATAAATGAAAACGTTTATGACTTCGACATTCAAAGTGATGCTGATGCATTAAAATTCTGTGAACCACCTCGATGGTTCGAAATGATATGAAATTCACATGTCAGGCAGCTGAAATCTATTTGAAGACTCCAGCAAAAGGATTCTCAACCTTGGGCGTGGTCTGCTGACGCAGGATAGCTTCTTTCTTCTCCTGTACGCGGGACTTGTACTTGCCACCCTTGACCAGCTTCTCGCGAGCGCGGATCACATTGGGGCTGATGTAGTCTGTATTCGAGTAGACTGTTGTGCCCTCAAACGCCCCAGCGAAGATTCTGTGCAGCTGTAAACAGAATCTAGGACCCACCTCCACCAGCGAAGTCTCCCCGGTGTCCTCGTTCTTGGCTACCTGATAATTTCTGATCCAGATGTGCCCATCGAGTACATAGAAAGAAAGGGTGTGATCCACAAACGGTTTGCTTCTGCGATGATTTCTTGGCGTTCCAAACGTTTGCATGAACATTTCTTTTAACAATTGCAGGTATGGCTCAGATTCGAACGTTGCATCGAACACCAAGAATGGTCGTGAATACATAAGATGGTTTCCCGTAAATTTTAGTTCAGCCATGGTGTGGATGTTCTTTACCAAAAACTTGGCGCTTGGTCCATGTGGGGTTCTTGCTACCCACAGATACAGATCCTTGTGTTTCCGTGTCTCAAAGTACAGGGCCCCGTTACACCCACGCATTTCACAAAGCTCGTTGATCACTGACGGACGATCTTTGCTCTCCATCTTCGCATCTTTTGCACCATGAGGGAGCATTTTTAGGACATCCAACATGAGATGTCTGAATCTGTGGACAATACCCCTTGACGCCAGGACGAGCACTCTCTGCTTATTCCTGAAGGTGTTCCCTTTACCTTTCTCTTGCTGTTTGCTGGCCGCCGAGAAAGCTGCCAGCTTGCCTTGAGGAGCCTTATCTTCGACCTGCATATCTCCATCTTCGCTATCAGATTCTCCTTTCAGAGGCTTCTCCTCCGCCTTGTCCTTCCTCCCCTCCCTCCGCCCTCCCTTGGGCTTCCTGGCCATGACCGCACGTGCAGAGCTTCTTCACAGATTGACCACCCCCACCCCCCTTTGACGGTGGACTGCGAAGGGGTGAAGTTTATTGATTTTTCTCTGAGGCGAGCTCGCAGACACCGATGCGTCTCCTGCAGGACCAAGCAGGAACCATGGCTGTGATGGGAGGGATGGCGCGTCCTCGTTCCTCCCTGCTCTCCTCCTCCTCCTCCTGTCTAGGTTGACATGCTGCAAGCCAACATCGATTAGCACACACACCTTCAGACAGCTGCAACCGCGCTTTGTCATGCTCCTTTCCGCTATCAGAGTCGTCTGCCTCTGCCTCTTCTGCCTGGATGTGACAACATACAGTCAGTGTGCATCGGCGGGTGATATAGCTAGACGATGGCTAATCTGCGAAATCAATGGTGGACTGAAAGAGCGACTGAGAGGACGTGGATCTCACGATGGTAGAAAGAAAGCATTGCGCCTTCTCCGAAACAAAGAGAAGCTGCGCGAGCAGATTCGAACAATGGCAGAAAAAAAGAAGCAGAGGTTGATCGCAATGTCTGACTTTGATCTTCTGATGGCTGTAATTTTGTAGAGAAAAGAATGACAAGGAAAAAGCTCGCAAGGTATTTGTTTCTTGGATCAACTCGCAAAAATTTGCACCACCGAGCGTTGACTCCTATTCAAGGAAGCCCGGAAGGCTCGCAAGCAACAAATGATGCAAAACGTTGAATCTGAACAAGACGAAGAGCCAGAAGAAACGGTTGTTCTCACTGAATTGTGATCTGATATGAAGTTGATCTAGTCTATATTCAATAGCGTACAGACTTTGCCAAGCTCCTTAAACCCAAGGTCAAAGAGAAAATTCTCAAGTATCTGCGATCGCTTGCTCCTCCTTTGCCAGACGACATAGATTCTGAAGGTGATGATCATCATGCTTGTTAGCATGTCGTTGCTGATGGTCAGGCGGTGATGAATGCCTTGCAACAGAAGCGAAGGAGTTTCAACTGACGGATGACGAGCTGCTTGGAGGCCTCCGCGACGAAGTCTTGAACATATCAAGTTGCTTTTGTTGTCTACAATCTGCCCTTGTGATGTTTGTCTACTTGTATCACAGGCATTGAAGAGCTAGATGACACAATCACCTCCAAGAAGTCGCAGCGAGAGTACATGATAGAAAAGCAACAGAAGATAATGAAAATGCCTGAAGCAGAGGAAGAGAACATTGACAAACGAATAATCAAAGAGGTAACTTAGTATCACAAGTTTCAAGGATTCCACTCAAAGTTGCTTCTTTAGGCAGAAGAAGAACTTGAGGAAGAATCAAGCAATCTTGATGGCGAAGAAGATCAGGATCAGGATCAGGATCAGAACGGAAATCAATCCTCTGACGAAGTTTCGTCTCCATCCCAGCAATCTTCTGCTGATAATGTAGGGAAGAAAGATGTCTCAAGCGTATCATTGCAGGAGGATCCGGACAATCCAAATCGTTCTGCCAACCCGTTCACAGGTAAATGTCCTCTTGCCTCCTGCATGCGATGAAGTCTGACAGCTATTCCTGCAGACGACCTCTTCGAGTCAGATGGTGAGTCGTCAAGAAAGATTGGCTCAAAGCGCGGACCCAAACTTTCTCGGTCACAAAAGAAGAAGAAGCTGACAAACAGCAAGACATTCTACGACAACTTAGACATCGAAAGGAACCTGTGAAACTTCACACATGATTCAGCCGTGTCGCACTATCCCGTTATGTCTTGTCACATCGCATGTTTACACGTGCTGATTATAAGCTATGACACCAGCAGCACTCATCTTTGACTGCCGACCAGTCTCAAGGCACCTCAGTGTAGGACCAACCATGTTGACGACCCCCGATGCCACTGACTTGCGGGTCGAGCAAGTTCGGGCGGTTGAGTCAGCGTGGCTGGCCCATCGCAAGCCTCAGGTCATCAATGACCGTCGTTGAAGTGCCTAGTCAGCTTTTGCCCGAGATTGAGTAAAGGGTGACCTCGGGGAACCCGGATCCGACATACATCTACATGGCCTTGTATGGGGACTATGAAGTTAAAAACTTTGTCGACTGATGCGTGCGTGTACGTTGGATCTTTGTAAAGTTTCTTGAACGACAATGAGCAGTTGCAGAGCTAGTACACAACAAAGTAAGTCACACTCGTGAGGCTCCTCTGATAGAGCAGCTCAACGAAGAGGGAGATGAAGAGGACAAGAAAGCTCGGAGAGGATGCAAGCGATCAATCGGGGTGAATGTCGGTCCATGGCGCGTGCATGCCGGCGTCCAAGTCAGAAGCGGAGAGCGACGGTCCATCCTGATCCCATCGAGTGTCAGAGAGAGAAGCAGACGAGGAGGAGCACGAGGATACCCGGTGCCTCTCAGTCTCTTCCTTGCAAGCGCTGCCGATGTCAAGGTGATCTTGACTGCATCGCCCGTCCTGTCACTCATCGTGAGCTTGTCAAAATTTTCCGTTCTCCTCGTAACCTCTGGCGGACTTTCGTTGACGTCACGTGAGATCTCGTCAATGGCCTGCGAGACGTCAACGACGAGGGAGGAACCAAGACGTTCACCTTATCCTCAGCACGTTGGCGATAGTTGTTGCTCCCCTGCAACCGCACTTCTCAGATGCATCGATTTCGCTCTCATCTTTTCACCTGCACTTGTAGAGCTTGAAGTTGCGCCTCCAGTTGATGACAAGATTCTCGGAAGTGTTCGGCTTCAGCCAGTGCTCCTGCGTCCAATCCTCTCATGCCAGTTCCCCTCTCAGTCGCATGTCGCCTCACGTTCACATTTCCGAGCCCACTCGTCCTTCTCTTTTGTGATGGCTCGTACGACAGTATGTAAGCTGCAAGTCGATTCAGTACAAATGGAAATAGCAGCATATGACAACTTGCTAATCTCCAGCATCAAGCTTTGCACTTGCTGCTGTAGAACAGCTGGATGCTCGGAGGACAGGGCCGCCATGGTCCTTCTCCACACAGTCAGCCTGACAACTTGGCGTTGATGTAGAGGCTCACCTTTGGTCGGGTGCCCCAGAATCTCTTGCAAAATCTCCGTACCACATCCTGACAGCATCGGTCACAAGCTAGCACGAATGGCTCTCTGCAAGCCAACATGGCCGGATGGTGACCCGCCATGGGCATCGGATGTGCGTAGGCGGAGGTTGGAGGGTACGGGATGCCTCGTCCTGGCCCGAACTGCCAGCATCCATTATTTTAGCATCCCCTTGTGATCTTGCTACCCACCATTGGCCCCTCCCGCGGTCTGTACGGCCCCATAGGCCCCATGCGACTGGAGAGGCCAAGTCAGAGTACCGCCAAATCAAACTCAGGCTGCTGACCCGTAGGGATCGTGATAGTCTTGGAATGCCATCATCCCGCGCCCTCGTGGCATGTTCCTTTGCATGAAATCCCCTCCGAAGGAAAACTGTCAAACTGTCAGCTAATTGAAGCACTTATGTAGTGCCCGCACATCGAACTTCTCCGGTCGCGCTGATGACTCGGTGCTCGGTTTTACGATAAGCGACGGGTGATCGCGGGCTTCTGAACCATTAAATGCTTCCTAAAAGACACTAGTGAGACTCATCGTCTGCCACAAATTCTCTTCACCTCCTCTGATCTCTCAGTGGAGTTTCTCGAGCGTGCAGGTTGACGTTCCTCTGGTTGAGAAGAGTTTGATCCGACACTGCCTGTCAGCCAAGAGCATAAAACGAATGCCGATAGGAACAACAGGATATCGACTTGAGTCGTCCAGTGCCAGGTTGCTCAGAACATCGTGAGCGCGTGGAGAAGAATTCCCCGAACAGGCGGTGCTTCATCGCCGTCAGAACAACAGGAAGAAAACACCTCATTGGTTACCTTCTGCTGTCAACACTGCTGCTGTCATCAGAAGTGGAAGCCAACAGCTCTTCGCCTTCCAGTGCTGCGAGTCCACCAGACAGAATAGCTTCTCTTTTCTGTTGCAACTTTTTAACCTACAAATCTAGTCATTCGGAGTCACTGGCTAGTGCTTGAGCAAGAATGCCTGATCTTCGATTGAGTTGTGATCATTTGTAAACTTTTGCTCAGCTCTGAGAGAAGCAATCTTCTTCTCGAGGCTGCGCAACGTTCGATGGCTGAAGACATGGAAACGATAAATCAAACGTCACATGGAAAGCGCGTTGACTCACGGCCACTGCATTACTCCTTGTTTGCGGCAAAGCTTTTTGAACCTGACCCAAATTCTCAAGAAATGCTCAGCGTTGCAAACAAAACGCACGCAGTAGTGCACATTCCGAACTTTCTTGCAACATCGACAAGAGGCAGGTGGAAGTGTTCACGGAGAACCTTTTCTGTCAATCTGCAAGGTTCAGTCAGTGAATTCCGTGTTTGACCATGCCACAGCAACACCTGCTTGATCTGACCGCATTCATGGGGTGGTTGTGCTGCGGCGCGATGTGCTCGGCGGCCTCCATGTGCTCCGCCTTCCTCCTCGCTAGCTCCTCGTACTCGCGTGTGGTGCCGCTAGAGAGAAAATGTTGATCGTCTTGACTTATCCCAAGCATGTAATCCATCCCTCCATGCCCATATGGGTCAACGTAAGATCCATAAGGATCAATCCTTGGGTGTTGCCAGTTCATGGCAACACCTGTTTTTCAGTTTCTATCGCCGACGGTTCTTGAGAAAGCAAAACTTGCCTACTGAGATATTTCTGTTCAAAAAAGGCTGTTCAGACTTCGCAAATCAGAGCAGGTCACGACATTCACACTGAATTATACAGTTTGTATCTCACAATGGGTGCCTATTCAAGACCTAGCATACCCATGGGCCTTGCCGATTGCTTTTCCTTCATAGTTTGCAAGTTGATCATCATCTTGCTTTTCTTCCTGAACCTCATGTTCATCGAATCTCATTCAGATAGCTCTGGCTGTATTGCAGTGCTTTCCCGCTCATTTTCCCTTATCCTTGCTACAAAGCGAGTCGAATTTGATTCTAAGCTTAAAAATTACATTTCTCGATGAATATCACTTCCTTGTCACCTCTCACCTGATTGCTGCATCAGATGCTACTTGACCTCTCACAAAATTTCATAGAATTCTTCGCACTTCTCCTTCCTTCTTGTCTAAGAGCAATAAGCCCCATCCAGTCACGTATTCGCTCGGCTCCAACCTCTGACCAGCTCACTTCTTCTGTGACACTTGCTGTTTTGCATCTTTCATGCCCCTCGTACGTCGTCCAGTCGTCTTGGAAACTTCTCTTGTCTGCCTGGATACTTGAAAGACCAATGGCCTACTTCACCGAAACTTATCCTACCATTTCCGCTCCTCACCTATCCCTCCCTGTCTTCTTCCTATCAATCTTCAAGCACCAATCATGAATCATCTCGCCTCTTTTCTCGTCGATCTCTCTGACACTCGTCTAACTAACCGAACAGCATGTCTCTCTGTCTGTAGTCCTCCATGCTCGCCTGTTCCAACCCATCATCTCCCGAATCATGGTGGGTTGCGGCAGGCCTGCAAAGCCCTTCAAGCTGGTCCAGGGGTGGGTGGGGGTGGGTAGTTATGGCTCACCACGGGTATTGTCGGGTGGGAAAGTGGCAAGGATGTGCATTTTTATAGCAATACTTCTAATTGAAGAAGCGAAGGGTGTTACCCAACCTCTGGGGTCCCGAACGGAGCATGATAAGGCAAGTCCCCAATTGGAGGTGGGCGTTGAAAGGTACCTACTGCATCAACCCGAGGGGTGGGTCCTTTTATAGGGTTGCAATGAGGGTATTTCTGCCCAAGGGTCCTGATTTTCACGATTTTTCCAAATATTTGTGCGATAAACACAAAATGACAGGGGTGTTTCTAAACATTTCCCTTCTGCTTCTCAAATTAATTACGATTTCAACCACTCTGCATGAAATTGTTATGCCAAGGGATAATGGCGTACACATGAGATTGATATCACCTTATGCAAAGAAAATATCTGTTATTTCAGTTGTGATTTCTTAGGGGGTAAAACATGTCTCCTTTACAATGCGCCAACTCTCTTCAATCCAAGTGAGGGACGCCAATGGTTCCGGTAGTTGAGAGGTCAGAACCCGTTATCCAGAATGATGGAAGACCAGTTCTTGCAACCCAACTTTGAGTAAACAGGTTGCCGGGCCCAACGGGCCCCGGACTTCAGCTTCTAAGAGCCCACCCCCCTTTCTCCCACAGAAAATCACCACCCACCCTGGAATACATTGAAATGTTGCTAATACCAGTCTTTTCTCATACTTGTACCCACCCTTTTGAGTCACATTTGGGTAAATCAACATGTAGTACCCCATGAATCCATCACCCCACCTCGCTGTATTGCTGACCGAGGGCGCCGCAATGCGGGGACCAACAACCTTGAGAGAAGCAGCAGCAGCAGCGGCTCGAGGCCTGACAATGGCACCCCCCTCGATATTCTATCGCTCTTCTTCTTCTCATCCGTCATACACTCTTTCTCTCCGCTTCATCTTCTCCTCCCCCTTCAAAATGTCTGCTCGTCACAGAGCTTACACCCCTTGCTACTCCGCCTCTGCTCTGACCTTCTCCCGATCCATTTCCCTCTCGTCAAAGATACACGCGGCTACTGTGCAGATGAAACCAATTGGAATCCAAAAGGGCATGTCTTCTCTCTTCAAAGCCCACCGCTTCTCCCTCTTTTCAGCTGCGCCGATCATGCGTGTTGCTTCTGCCTGCGCTCCCGTTGCATCATCCACGCGACACCAAAGCTCCTCAAGATCAGCGGATAAAGCTGGAGACAGCAAGAATGAAGATCTTGAGACCATGTTCCTAATGCTGTCTGGCAGCATGAAGCCGCAGACGGTCAAGATCAACCGTAGCAAGCGCTTTCTCGTGTGCCTGGAGCAGACGATGGACGTGCTCGAGCACGAGCTTGCCAAAGAAGTACCGGGCATCTTCCGTGTGCTCAATGATCGAGGACTGCCTGAAATCCGATGGAATACAGCACAGGAGCAACAGATCTTTGATTTCTTGCGTTCTCATGAGTTTGGAACAGTTGACAAGTCCTTCGTGTACCAAGGGGCGTTCGCTCTTGGAGTGAAGCGCGTGAAGTTCTTGTCTCTCTTCTCTCTCTGCTTCACCAGCTTTGGAGGACCTCTTCTTGTCATTGGAGATGCTTCGGCCTCCGCCATGCAGTGGGGAATGGCAGCTGCAATTGTGATCTTCGGAGCTTCGACAACTGGCCTTCTGCATCTTATAACCTCGCCATATGTGCTGAGGTTGAAGCGGCTGGCAGACAAATCTTTTGAGGTGAGGGGAGGGAGAAAATAATGCTTCAACGTGGCATGACTGAATGCTGCAGGCTGAGACGCCTCTATTGACTGGTGGGATTCGTACCACTCGATTCTTTGCAGAAGATGTGCAGATTAGTAGCATGCCATTCGCCACGTTCAAAGTAATCTTACTGCTCGCGTGAAAATTCTTTCCGTCTGATTACATGATAAGGCCAAGGGTCATAACTTTTATGTTCACAAAGAGCTTTTCATCGGCGACGAAGGAAGAGAAATGCTGTGTGACCTAGTGGGAGTGAAGGTAACGACCAAGATTCCTAGTACCCCCGAGATGAATCTCGAATGAACAGGCCATGTCAGAGATGTATGAAGACTTGATACAGAAGAATCCTGATGATCTGGTGAGTAGAGAAGAGCTTCTTCCTCATTGTCTTGTAGAAGAGAATTTGCCGAGTCTTACAATTGAATTCTGTGAATATGTTACTGAGGCACTCACAGGATGCTATGTATCAGTACGGCATGTTTTTGTGGAAACATCTCAAAGATACTGAGGCTGCGGAGGTTTGTACTGCTCGGCTTTTGTTTATTCTTGTCACGATGAACGGTAATAGGGGGCTCTTATGAGGGTGCTGGATTCGGATCCCGATGATCAGGTAATCATAGTCGCGGGAGGGAACAAGGAAGCGATTAAGGGTGTGAGACCAAGGAGAAGGAGCGCAGGAGCTAGCTAGCTTTTGAGCGTTTCAGGGCAGGAAGGAAGGAGAGCGGAAAAAGTTGGTGATAGGCAAGATGGAAAATGTGAGAAAGCAGATGAAAAGCAGAAGCTAGTGTTGTGGGGTCAACATTTGCAAACTAACAAGATTATCAGGTCGTCTTGACAGCCCTGCTTGAATTGAAGAAAGAAAAGAATGCACCCAACTAATCTGATCAACAATCTGCGTTGCATTTGCAGCATATAGATTACTTCCATATTACCTTGGCACAAAAAAAATTGCTTGGTTTCTGCATGTGATGTAGACAGATTCTCTTTCAACTGCATAATTTGGATGAGCACAAAAATCATCTAAGTTGACCTGCAGAATAAAATGCAAACAGATCTATCTGAGAGTAATCAGACAAAAAGCGATTGCAGAGAGACCCCAATGAACATTTAATTTACACTTATTAGAGAATTTGCCTAGAAAGAAAATGATTTCTTTCCAGTCTAATTTGCATCATTTTGTCACAGCTCACTTTAACAATACACAGATATTTTTCAAGAGAAAATTCCCTTGTCTGAATGAAGATCCATCATACTGAATGCAGGAGGGGCCTGCAAGAATTACCACAATGCTGACTCTCTTCACTGTTGAGACTAAACCCTTGGACGAAGAGATGGTTCTTTGACATGTTCTCGTCTAGATGAGCCTCACGCTCTAGCATCTCTCCTATTAACCTGTTATATTCTGCACGTGCTTGCTGATCTGAATCAGACGAGTTGCAGCAGTGATGAAAGAGAGGAATCCTGAAGTCGGTCTCTGCAAACTCCATTACAGGCATGTGTGCGCTTGAACCGAAGAGCCAACAGATATGCAGGTAATGCAAACTCCCAGCGAAAGAAAAATCTTCAAGTCCCTGGTCGAGACGTCAGCACGTTTGATAAAAAGTTCCTACATGCAAGCGATTATGTTGCTGATGCGACTAAGTATGCTCACTTTGTGAAGGTGAATTGTGGTGTGTTCTGAAATCAAGCATAATTGCACACAGGCAGCAAGCATGAGAAAAAAGCTATCAAAGCAATGAGCCGGGCTTAGCGATCACGTGGCACGATGCGGCCTAGTCGATCAGAGATGTGGTAATAATTGCAGCAACAACATACTGCGGCCTAGTCGATCAGAGGTGTGGTAATAATATTGCAGCAACAACATAGTGAAGTGTCTAGGTAGGTAACTGAAATGGAATCGAATACATTTGTTTCATGTGCATGAAAATTGTATTTTCATCGCTGTGATTGTGTTTGGTTCTCGAGTGACTGGTGTGGCGGCTGTCTGGGAAGGCATTCATTAGCTGCTGCCTGTACTTGTCATTGATCTTATCTCACATACTGTTGACATTGCTTGATAGAACATGTGATTAGTATTCCCCTTATTCTTCAGCTTACATGCATGCAACGTTATGTTTGGGTGTTGATGCCTCTTGCATGCAACGTTATGTTTGGGTGTTGATGCCTCTCATCCTCGTTTGAACATGTTATGTTTGTTGGATCATTTCAGGGATGAGTCGTCGTAGATGCATTTCAGATACCTACCCCCTATTCGGACCCCAAATCCTAAACCGTACCCCTGTGATAGCCCCCCATTCTCCTACTATTCTTGTTATCCCACCACCCCCTCTCCCTACCCTCCAAAATTCACTACCCACGTTTTATTACCCAATGCTTGATTTGTACCCTACCACCAAGACCCCCTGATGACCAATTCACCACCCACCTTTGCTCCTGAGGTTGAGCCTCCTGTTGTACCAGGACCATTTCCTAACACCTCTCTCTAGGCCATCAGATAAGACCGAATTGTATACCTGTACCACCCTCCATTGTAATTACCCCGCTATTGTACCTCATCTACCCCTGCACAAAGGTATTATTACCCCCCATCCCCTCCTCCCCCCCGCCACCCCCCTCTTTCTCTCCATGGCTATCACGACCTCTTCAATTCTCAGATCATACAGGGGTCCAAACCAATTTTGACACGATTCCAGAGACCGTGGGGTGGGGTGGGGTACGGTTTGTGGGATGGGGTGGGGTTCAATGAGTACAGGCAGGTGGGTGGAGCACAAAAGATTTCAACCCCTCCCCTGGATATTGGTACTACCCTACCCCTTCGTGAAGGCAACTTCTGTACCACAGGACGGCAGCACCACGATCGTCGACCTTGCCATTGGTTGACCCCACCCATACAACTTCGGTACTTCCGAGGGGGCCAGCGATGAGTACCCCCACTTTAAGGGTTGAAAGTACGGGTGCGAAAAGTAACACACAAATCCGATAATATATGTAAAAGGACGGGTAGTAGACATTATGTAAAGGACGGGTAGTGCAGAGTCAACACCTCGGACTGAGCGTCAGCAACCGTGTTAAGTCATCATTTGAGTGATGTGATGGTCCGGTGACTTCGGACTGGCCCGGCAGCCCGGACTCCGGAGGGCCCGGCCCTGGATGACAATTAAAGGCCCGGACCCGGCGTTGTCTTTCATTTACTCAAAGTTAAGTTAAAAAAAGCGACTCGCATACTCGCGCGCTGCCGCAGTGCGTCACGCGGGAGTCACGGCGCGGCCCAACGGGGTGCTGAGGAAGATAGGGGTCCGAGCAAGGGAGAAGGGAGGTGGGTGAATAGGCAGAAATCTAAAACTGATTTACAGGCTTAACTCAAAAACGATTTAGATTGAACTGGTACTCTTTAATCATTCAGATAACAATTTCGACGGTACTAAAGTTTTATAATCGTCAGTTTCGGTACATCTTCTGTAAAGTTTTTTTTAAAAGGGAACACACGGTAGTATGGCAGGGGGTTAAAAGACAGGGCAATGCAGGGGTGGACCTGACGAGCATAGTTTTAAAAACTGGTTGATGTAAAAACAGAAAATCGATGTCATAATTGTTGGTACGTAAACCTTTTCGGGGGTAGGTTCAGCTCGGAATATACCCACCCCTTCCTCGAGTTTTTTGTGTTGTTGGAGGGGGTACAAATCATTCGAGAACCAAGTCCAAGGGGTACCTGTACCACGGAGCGTTCAAAGTTTACGGGAGTAGGAGTACGAGGAGGGAGGATGCGTCCAGGCAAGACGAGGAGCGGGTGCTGCTATCTGAGGTGCAGAATCGCCATGAGCTTGAAGGGAAGCTGATTGTATAGGTGCTGGCGCAGCGTGTCAGCATCTACAGTTGCCTGCAACACTGAACAGCAATTCGCCATTTTCCTCTGTCAAGCTTTACTGAGTTGGTAGAGGGCCTCTTGCTGCTACAGGATAGTCTTGTCCCTAGAACGAGAATTTGAGTCTTCTCAGACTTGCGGGTTCTTGGTCATGCTGAAACGCTCCATCTCGTTTAGCTTTGAAAGCAGGGATTGGGATGAAGGCATCGATGACTGTCAAGATGACAGTTGCAAGAACAAGCCACCCTATGTACGCACGACAATTATTCTCCCCACGGCTGGAGAGATCTTCGCCAACTATTTCGGCAATGGTGACACTTCCTTGCAAACACATCAGTCGCCAGTCGTCTGCGGGGAAGGAGATGGGATTCCTGCATGCCTCGCCGTTCGCTTCGGGTTGAAGGAAGATGGAGAGATGTTCAGGATTCACGTTGCTCAGATTCGAAAAGCGATGGAGCAGGATCATCGGCTCGAAGACGTCATGAACAGGTTAAAATAATTGGTCAGCTCAGTACCTCAAACATACAATGTATATTCTTTCATTTTTGCATACAATGGTGTAAATACAGTACGAGAATGTGGTCGTGCAAAAAAGACTAATCTTCAAATCATGCTCATATCTGACGTGCCACTGAGAACACAATAGTAAGGTGTGAAATAGCTCAGTAAAAATCTCTATCCTCACCCAGCAGACCGCTCCACCGCCGATGAACACGTCAGCTCATGTCCCTGCAAAAGTCTCATTGACGAAATGAGCAAGGGAGGGATGGGGAGAAGTATAGGAGAACAGAGGAATTCAAAACACAAGTTGTTCATAGGTTGTTCACCATGCTGTCCGAGTCCAAAGAAATATTTACAGCTCCCAACTCTCCGAGCTGAACAAAGCTAAGAATGCCTCGCGAACATCACTGCATAGCTACCTTTTCACGAATCATCTCTCGCTGCTTGTACCACGAGCTGACTTGAGATTTGTTCACATTGAACAACTTCGCTGTAATCTGAGGACAAAGGTAATTGAGTCTCGGAGAACTGAGGTGGAGCTCTGTGAACTGACCAGGCATGGATCGTCGACCTTCCCCTCAGCTTTGAGCATCCGGTAGGTCTCATAAGTTTTGATGACATCCCACTTAAACCTGCGACCAAAACTTTAATTCCAGCCCCTGCTCTTTGGCCCTCCTCCCAATCCCGTTCTGCTTTCCTACCTAAATTGCCTTGCACATCGTTTGTCACGTCCTCTCTTGCCCGAGCCTGTTGCACAGAGTCATCTGACATCAAGGGGATCCGAGACTACCTGGGTGCATAACTCTGCTATCTGCGCTTCTCCGTCTCCGGGACTTGAGCATGAAATCTGACAGCATCGAGTGCTGGACAATGATCAGACAGCAGCAGGTCAAAAGGACCGCTCACGTCATGCCGGGATCGTAATGGAGGAATCCACCAAGTGACCATGGATGGCAGACATGCCCCTTGCCTGCTAGGACGAGGAGGAATAAGCAGCTGCAATCAGCAGAGCAAGCATGTCACGTAATCATGCTGTACGCTACTGGAATCACATCCTGTGTACAAGCAGGGCGAGAAACTTCTTCGGGCAATCCTTCAGTGGTGGATACAATATGATTCTGCACATCACAATGAATAGAGTACATCCACACTGATTCATGTCAAGCTACTCACGTCATTCGTTCCGCGCCTGCGCTTGTTGGCACGATAGCACCCTCGACCTCCATCGTTCTTGGAAGATAACCAGTTCAGCTTCAAGTCTCGCTCTTTGATCAGAAGAGCAACTTCTGAGTCAAGCTGCGTGCAAACTGCATCAGCGACATACAGCATTTACATGCAACACACTTGATCTTGTGTGAACAGCCCCTTGTCTCTTCGCTTTTCTAACTTGTCAAGTTCGTCATTGAACCACGATCGGATAGAGTCCAGCTGAGCAAACTTCGACCTCTCCTGGTTACGTTGCGTTTCCTGAGAGTCATAGTAAGGAAAGTTACAAGCTCTCTGCCTGCTACTGGTTACAGGAAGGTATGCAGATGCTTGTTCAGAGGCGACAAGCTCCGGGTCATAACTCAAGCTTGCAGCAGCTGTGTCATACGCATGAACCATGGCATGAGATGATACGATCGATCCTCCTTCCATCGTCTTCCTGCACATTTCCATGTTCAAACAAAAAAGAGACTGCTTGCATTCTTCACAGCATTCGTTATGTTCTCTTCCATTGTGCAGTGCATCGAGCCCATGCAATCCAGCGCATTTCACGTACAAGAATAAATAGACAAGGTGAAAACAAGGAGAATACGTATAGAAATGATGAAATAAACACGCACACAAGAACCAAAACACCAAAAAATTGTGAAATTGGAGGCAATCATCAACATGAAGAAGCTCAGGTGAGCTATTCTCAAGACAACAATGTCATGCAAATCAATCTGTTAATTCTTGATCTCCAGCAGTATCTGCTGTTCAGCTCTCTTACGTCCTTCAAGTTTCCCCTCTTCTTCCTCATACATGTCAGTTCTCTATCATCTTCATCATCCTCCTTATCCTTCTCCTTCCATCCCCCTCGCCCATCCTCGCCCTCGACCAACCTCAACGCCATTGACCATCTCAAATTCACCAACCCCACTCGGAAATTTGAGTACCGGTACTTTCCCCTTGTTCCAATGGGGTATCCGAATTACCATCACCGGTATTCAAGAGCTCCAAGGCAAGGGTGGGGTGATGAGCGAATTCGTTTGCGTTGAAACATGCCATGGGTGCCCGAGCCAGAGCAGAGGCGAGGCGATGGAGGAGTATGGCAGGAGAACGCAGGACAGAGCAGGAGAGCAGGAGAGCAGGAGAGGAGAGAGCACGATAGCTCGAGCGAGGAGTGAGGGAGGTTGGGTGAGGAGAGCGGGGAAGGGAGAGAGGTAGCCAGACGGGGCAAAGCGAGGCAAGGAGTTTAAGATGGGATAAGTGGGGAGGGAGAAGGAGGGCGGACAGCAAATGCACTCATTTGGTTTGAGAACATTCAAATAGACATAAATTTTGTTTCAATCTCTTGTTTGTTTGCTACCTGCCATGTGATCAGCAGTCCCTTGCACCATTGACCCCCCCCCTATGCGTCAACACCTTATGAGATATGATTGTAATGATATATCATTTTTTTCATACTCCCCAATCTCCTCATTTCAATACCCTGACAACTTGTTTGCACAGATCGGGAAGGGTCAAGATGGTAACAGCGATCACGGCAAACAGTTCTAAGTTTCACTTCTCACTGACCACCATCGATGGTGCGGTCAGGGTATCCAATTGCAGATCAAGACGGAGTGACGAGCTAAAGGAGGACGACACCATTCTGTCCATTGATGGAAAGAAGATCAGGAACGCCGAGGACGCGATCATGGCGTTGGACGATGCTGAGAACTCGTCACACTCTCTTGAAATATGTCGAGGAGGAGGAAGAGTGCAGGAAGTCTTGACCATCGAGATCGGCCAGCATGGCCCGACGCCGATCTCGTCTTCGCGACCGAAGGACTTGGAGGCGCCGCCAGCTCACAAGTCATCAGCACAGGAGGAGGAGGAGGGGAGAATGCAGAAGATGTTGCAAGCAACCCAACTCAAGGAGGAGGGAAACAAGTCGTTCAAGGAGGGCAAGTTCGAAGACGCCATCTGCTCATTCTCTCGTGCCATCGAGCTTGCGGGACCTCGTGCTCCTCACACGTTCTATTCCAACAGAGCTGCAGCGTACCTACAGGTCAGTGACGTCAACTCCAGTCTTTCCTTACTCCTCCTTCTCCTCTCACCTTGCCCTCCCCCTCATCTTTCCTCTAGCCCTTTCCTTAGCACAGCCATCAACCTTGCTACTTGTTGTCCGTCGTGCGCTCATGCTGGTTTTCTTGACTTCCTGCTTCTCATTCACTCCCCACAGGTTGGCAAGGCAGCAGAAGCTCTTGAAGACTGCGACACCTGCATCAAGATGAATCCAAGCTTCCCAAAGGCGCACTACCGGAGAGGACAGGTTTCCTCCTCCATCTTGCTGTGCCAACTCCCCCCCTTCTTCATGAATCGTTTCCTCTTTCCTCTTGTTGTCCTCCTTCCTCTTGTTCTCTTCCTTCCCCTTGTCTTTCTCCTTACCTGCTCTCTTCTCCTCCTTACCTGCTCTCTTCTCCTCCTTACCTGCTCTCTTCTCCTCCTTACCTGCTCTCTTCTCCTCCTTTGATTCTCATCACCTCTCTGAATCCCCGGCCGGCAGGCTCTTCTAGAGCTCCAGCGCGCGGAGGAAGCAATCTTGTCCTTCAACACCGCCAGAGCTCTCGAGCCAGACAACGTGCAGACAATCGGAGGGCTGATGAGAGCGCAGGAAATCTTGAAGAAGATGCAGGAGAAACCGAATCGCTCTCCTCCTCCTCCTCCTCCTCAAACTTCGACTTCGACTTCCATTGCTCCTCCTGAGAGGGTAAGATCAGAATCGTTGTTTCTCGATTGCTGAGTGCTGAGCTTCAGGGTGAGGAGGGAGGCGCAGGAGGGAGGAACATGACCAGCAGAGCCAAGAAGAGCTCGGCTCCAGCAGGAAAGAAGCTGTGGGGGAATGAGGAGGAGGAGGAGGAGGAGGACAAGCTAACGGAGGAGGGCAAGAAGGCCTTCGAGCGAGGAGACTATGCGGAGGCTGCGAGCTGCTTCACTGCTGCCCTGAACCTCAACCCCAACAATCACCTGCTCCTCGGCAGCCGTTCTTCCGCTCTCCTTCAGCTTGGAAAGCTGGAGGAGGCGCTGGAGGATGCGGAAGAGAGCGTGAAGAGGTGCTCGAGCTATGCTGAGGGGCATCTGAGGAAGGCACAAGCGCTCTCCGTCCTCGGCAGGTTCGATCTGGCGGTGGAGGCGGCAGAAGAGGCGAGGAAGCAAGACCCCGAGGACGCGAACATCCGAGCATGGCATGAGAAGATGCAGAGGATGAGGGAGGGGAGCACCCTCAGCGCGGAGAGCGTTGAAACTTTCTCGGACGAGGGGGTGGAGGTGGAGGTGGAGGTGCCGAAGCAGGGCAAGGAAGGAGACCATGTCACAGTCTCTCTCTCCTTCCCCGAGCTGGGAGCCGTCAAGCTGGACGCGGTGGTTCCCCCGGGGAAGAAAGGGGGCGAGAAGTTCAGGCTGAAGTTGGGGAGGAGGGAGGAGATCGCAGAGAAGAAGAAGCTGGAAGGGATCAAGGCGTTCAAGGGCGGGAGGATGCAGAAGGCCTGTGAAGACTTCTCCTCCGCCATCCTCCTCAACCCCAAGGACCCTGCAAGCTTCCTCAACCGATCGGCCGCAAACTTCAACCTGGGGAGGCTCGAGGGCTCGCTGGATGACGCGGAGAGCTACCTCCGTCTCCTTCCCCGCTGCCCCCGAGGGCTACACAGGAAGGGACTTGCGCTTGCTGCCCTGGGAGAGTTCGAGAAAGCTGCCGCAGCTCTTGAGGAGGCGCTGCAGCTTGCTCCGGACGAAGACGTCAGGAAGGACCTGGAGGAGACGAAGGAAAACGCGGAGAAGAAGAAGAAGGGCGAAGCTGTGTCGTACGAGAGGGTAGTGCCTGATGCAAGGAAGGAGAGCAGGTTTCTTCACCACAGGATAGCGGCGGAGGTAGAGGAGGAGCTGCAGGCTCAGTGGAAGAGGTCAGAGAGGAGGAGGAAGGAACGGGAGAGCAGGGAGATGGAGCGATCCGCTGCCATTTCCAACGAGAAGCTCGCAGCTGAGCTTGCAAGGGCCAAGGAGGAGGAGGAGCACAAGAAGGACACGGAGAGAGCCAAGTTCCAGGCGGTCGCTCAGCGAGTTGAGTTCGAGCAGTTCGAGCAGAACGTCAAGGGCGCGTCCCTGAAGCCTCAGAGGACCAAGACGGACGGCAAGGAGCACGGCATCATCCTCACCCCCGGTAGCTCTGCCGCTGTTCCCGGCCTCGCCAAGAAATGCTTCAACGCCATGGCAGAGGGGGGGGAGAGGAGGAACTGGCTTAGCGGAGGAGAGGACGCGACCAAGAGTGTGGCAGTACCTGCTTCCTCCTCACATCGCCCCTCCGCCTCGTCTGACTCGCCTCCCAGCAACGGTCGGGAGTTTCTCCGCAGGTGGAAGTCGCTCAAGGGAAAGGAGGATGAGAGGAAGCAGCTGCTTCTGAGCCTGCCGCCAAACCCCTTCCCGTGCTTGTTCAAGACCGAGATGGACGCTGACCTGATCGCTGAAATCATCGCTCTTCTGAGGACGACAGGTACCAACTACAAAACCCTCTTCCACCGCAACCACAAGCAGAAGCTCTTTCTCCTCTTCCTCCTCTTCTTTCTCCTCCTCCTCTTCTTTCTCCTCCTCCTCTCCGCTCATCCTGCGGTCACTCTTCGCTGTCGCTAGCTCATGTTGTGGTTATGCAGGACTTGAGGCCAAGGTGGGCCTGAGCCTCCTCGAGTCCATTGGGCAGACTCAGAGATTTTCACTCATCTCGCGCTTTCTATCCAAGTGAGCGAAACTGACGTGACGCTGCTGCCTGACCCTGACGCGCAGGAGAGACAAGGAGGAGGTGAAGAAGCTGCTCGATGAGTATCAGACACAGCAAGACTTGCCGCAGGCAACGATTTCATCCCTTAGAAACCTCTTTGCCTGAAGCGATTAAATCGATTTCTTTCACCTTTCAGAAACTTTGCGATTCATTAACGTTAATCTACAAGACAAGGGAAAGCAGAGGTGAAGTCTCGACACGGGAAAACAAGAGAAAATTGCCAGAGGGGCGAGGCTTGTTCTTCCTGGTGTGTCCTCTCCCATATAAAAAAGAATATTAGCATACAACCTCTCAGCCTTAGCTGTTCTCCTTCTCGATCGTACTTCGTGGGCACGAGAGGGAATGAACGTCGTTCTAGCGTGCCAATACAATTCGTCAGGCAAGGGCAAAGATGGTGAAGGCTCGCGGTACCTGTTGCATCCTCGAGGCAGCACTGGCAAGTTTCTCGAGCCGACTGAAGCTGCTGAGAGAAGGAAGGGTCCTCGGGGAAGCTGGACTACAAGAAATGTCAAGGGACGAGGAAGCAAAGACAGAGACGAGTGCTCGTTACCTCGAGGAATGATTCCCCTCCACAAAACGGAGAGGCGGCAGGAGGAGCGGCTGGAGTTCTTTCGAAGAGTCTGCTGCCTGGAATCTGGTCTTACAACTTGATGTATCAAGTGAGATCACAACTTTCGAGCATTGCGATGATTCGTGAGCCCCGTCTTTGATGACGTCTGGTGTGATCGACTTGCCCTTCTTCTCCAACTCCCCGCTCATCTCACCCCGTCGTTTTCCAAGTATCCCGTTATGCATGCTGGGCGCACGATCATGAAGCCCTTCTTCATGAGCCAGCTTGACTTGCATGCTGCCAGAAACGCCTTCCATGATTAGTTCAGTCTCACTCAGAGCCTGGGAGGTTGTGAGATCAAGCAGAGACAAGCCAAACAGGCTGACCTCATCTTTCACAAGGTGGGGGACAACTTCATCTCCCTCCTTGGAATGCTTTACAAGGTGCCCGAGCAGATCTACCTTGACAGGAGAGACAGCAACTCCAATGTCTTCTGGTCTCCTCGGCCTGCAGACAAGTCTCAGAATTCTTCTTCACTTGTCAAGCTCGTCAACCTTCCGGGCCCTGCGGGACGCGAAGGCCTCCGAACTGAGTCCCATAGACGGCAAACTTCTTGCACTTTGAGACAAACTTGGTTGATCTTGTCAGTGTTGCAACCAGCCTCTTTCAGGATCTTAGCAGCACATTCAGTTGTCAACATGGATACATCGAAGCACAAAGACCTTCTGACAATTTGCCCTATCATCTCTGTCAAGCTCAGTATCTCTCCATCGTGCCCTTCGAAACCCATAGCCTTGAACATTACAAAGATTAATGAACACCACGGAATGCATCAGAAATTATGTTCTTACCTGGATTGCCAGGTTTTGCTCTGACTGCAGGAACTCTTCTGCTCTGTTCTTTGCCATAGATTTGATATCCAACTTTGTTGAAATGTAATCTCATCCTCTTATTCTTAGCTGCAAAAGAAATCACATCAGGCTCTGCAACATGCATTGCAACCTCCTGCACCATTATCGCCGACAACCTCTGGGAAGAGATCTGCAAACGTTGTGAAGACTGAAAGCTTGATGTCTTCCGAGTCCTCTTGCGGCAAGATGTCTTCATTATCACTTGATAGCCTTGTTGTTGCTTTGAAGAAATACCAAGCAAGTCGAGCAACTTCTTCTTCAGCATTTGTACTGGCTGAAATTATATGAAGTTCCTTCTTGCCGGATTCTTGCACCAAATCTTGCATCTTGCAAGTAGGCAATGACTAATGGGGGGGGTGATAGAATTGTTGATGCGAGATCGAAGGTATCATTTCAACGGCTTATCGCTGACATGATGATCATCTGTAACAATCATCCTCCAACGTGAACTCTGCGCAAACACATACCATAATCAGAAAGAAAACGACAACTCTAAATCAAAGAGTGAAAGTGATCAAACTCGCTGTAGTACACAACAGGGCAAAAAGTACACGAGCCCGGATTAAACTGATCTCCATCTCTTTCATCAGATTTAAGACTAATTGCTTCAAAGAGGAGGAAGAGGAGGAGGAGGAGGAGATCTATGCATACAACAGTAGGTTATTCCACGGATAAAGTGTGGGTGCACTCGTCGCAAGCAAAAATCAGAACCTATTTTGTAACTCTGTCTTGCATCATCACATCACTTTTCTTTGATCACGTTTTCCTGTATATAAAGCAGTTTTACTACAACCTGCATGTCTTCAATGCATATTAGCCCCTTCTTGAACAAAGTTCATGCCAAAACCATGCATTCCAACGCATCGCAACAAAAAAAATCGAAACAGTCGAGAAAGGCGAATTTCATCATTACACAGCATGTTTGTGGCCCAGCAATCAGCTGAAGACATCATCATGTACTTTTACAATCTGGTGTCATTTCTTCTTTCCGCTGCCTTCATCTTTGCCCTCCTTTTTGCATCTTCGCCCTGATAGCTTTGCGCTCAACAGCCATTGCCTTACTTGGGAACTACCCCCACCTTGAAATTCTACTACCCCCTAGTCAAAAGAACGACAAGGACCGGTGGAAATGCAGAGAAATGAAAGGGTACATGCTACTGCTCTAGGAAACAGTAGGGTTGTGCTTTTTGGAGTGCTATGCCACCCTACCCCCTTTCCAACGCTGTCCCTCAGATTGCGATCCGTCCCTTAGATGACCCTACCCCCTATTGCAGTACCCTTGAGAAAAGACTCTCTGAATGACCCTTTCTTTCTCCTTTCAGTACCCCTCATGTTTCCTCGTCCAGGGACCCCACCTATTCCAACCAGTTTATCTGAATCTTGATTGATCTGATTGCGTCCCTACCCCCACCCCTCGTTCTAGGGTTCGAATGGAAATTCAGCTACACCCCACCCCTAGAATTATCAGCCACCAGCCTTTCAACACCCTACACCTTGTTCTGCTGCGCTGCACTGGTAAACCCCACCCCACGGGAGGACATCCTGAAACTTTAACTCCTCAATTGGGTAGGGTGTACCACCCCTCGGAGATCAGGTCTCTCGGGTTGATCGTCTTCCTGAAGAAGTGTTCTTTCGATCCCCAAGAAAAATTAGCAAAGGGGGTAGGGTTGAAGAAAGGGGTAGGCTGTTAAAGTTTTGTATTTATATACAAGGGTAGGGGGTTCTTACATTGAAGATATTGGGTAGGGTGGATTTTAGCATGGCACCAAGCAGGGTGGTAAAGAGTCGTAAGGGCCAGGAGATTGTATGGAGATACCCTAGTACCCCTGCAGAGGGCCCTGCCTTACTGACAGGCTGACATCCAAAAGAGCTGATTTAATGTAAAGATGTGATCTCCCTGCACCTCGATGTATCTCGAGTTTCAGAGCAAAAGCGATACGTCGTGTCCTCTCGCCCGACCGGGTGACTCTGCGGCCGGCTAGCACTGGGCCCGGCCGGCCCGGCGGGCGGCGCTTGGGCCCGCCGCTTCAAGCTGACGGTGACTGCCACAGGCAACGCCGGGCGGGCGGCCCGGGCCCGGTAGCGCACGCGGCACTGACGGACACCGTGCCACGCGACTGGGCCCGCCGCGCGGCGGCCCCGGTGCCGCAACCGGCGTTGAACTGTCACGGCGCCGGGCTCAGACTGACTCCGAGGCTTGCCCAGGCTACTGAGACTGAGGGCCCGGCCCCGCGGCGGCCGCGCGGCACGGCAGTGCAGTGACCCGCGGTGACGGTGGCCGCCGGGCGGCCTGCACTGATCATCGGATGGGCCTGGGCGGCGGCGCCGCCGCCGCCCGGCCGCACAGGCTGCGGGCGGCCGGGCGTCGGCTGAGTCACTCGGCCCGGACGGCGCGGCCCGGCGGCGCCCGTCGGACAGTCCGACGGTCCGATCGGAGAACCGCCGTACGGTCCGGTCCCGGTGACGCCGTCGGCAACCCGGGCCGGGGCCTCACTGTACGGTCCGACGACTCAGCGGCACCGGGCAGTGGCGGCGGTTCTGGGGTGAGCTTGATGATTCGGATCGGACCCGAAGAGCTCGGCGACACTGTCGTTGGAGATGGGCGGCGGGTGAGGATGTGATGGAGGAACGCGGATGCGGAAGTGAGGAGATGAGGAGATGACATGAGGCTAGAAGGTGATGCTGACTCCGATCCTGAGGAAGAGAAATGTCAAGACGGCAGAAGCGTCGAACCGCAGGAACGCACAGCAAAGGCGTCCCCCGGTCTCTGTCTTCACTTCGGTTCCATCGAGGCCTCCCAGCAGATTGTCGCGATTGAGGAGCGGAAACGTGGACATCATTGACATATGGCAGAGCGATCTCAACCAGCCTGAAAGACCGACGTCTACACAGGCAGAACGAGGAGGGACAATCGATGAGACCAGCAAGTACGTCAAAGACTTGAGCTTGAAAGAAAGGCTCTTCCTGTTTTACAGCAGGTTCGCACAGAACATGAAATCTTCTGTGGAGGAAATAGCAACACAGTGGGAGATAAATGAGGAGATGCTAGAACAAGTCTTGATGAAGAAGTACCGGACAAACCTTGATCAGTCAGGTCTTGGGAAGACAGGAGAAGCCATCGTCAACGTGGAAAGGCTTAGAAGGGAGATGAAGGCCTTTGGGATACAAGTTGCAGTCTCAACAAAAGGCCACAGCGACGTTGAAAGTCGGGTAAAATCCAACAAGTCTGCCATGGCGATGGTGATGGCTGAGTGCTATGTTCAGGCCTCGTCAGCGTCAAGGATTGTGACTCGAGATCGCATGTTGCTTTCTCAACATGGGGCCCGCCGTCACGACGAGGAGAAGAGATACCATGATGCTTTCAGTGATGCTTCAGGGTCAACGCACCATCGCCAGCACCTCGAGTCTCTGCGCCCCAAGACATCCGGGTACAGCACGTGCGGCGAATGACGGTATGGCTGACCTGCATTACAGGATGATAAGAATGCAGCTGAACTTGAAAGAAGACATCTTCGCTGTGAAATCAGCAGAGAATTCTTCTCAGAGCACAACTCGAGGTTCTTTCGTTGCCATACCTTATTTCAAACCTTACAAACTTCTCAGGCTCCACTGCCGTCTCCTCTGCAACCTTTTACAGCAGAAACCAGACGCCGTTAGTCGCCATGGCGCCGTCAGTGTCGAGAGCGTCAAGCAGCGTCATGCGTCCTTTCACAGCGCCAGCACAGCGAGAGTCTGAGCCTCCTCTCGCAGAGTCAGACTACATGCAGATCGAGTCCCCGCGTGAGGACCACCCCCCCGAGCTCCAGCTGGCAGAGGAGGCGCCTTCAGAGGTCATCACTGAGCGGTACGAGTGTCTGATAGTGGAAGAGGAGCCTGCTAGTCGCGGCCTCGTTGACTTGCAACCTGGCGATGAAGTCCCGACAGCCTCGGCGATTGAGAGGCGACCATCCACTAACGCGGGTCGTCGAGCGGGAGGAGGGAGATTCTTCAGGCGCAGAAGCTCAGCGCATAGCCAGGAGTCAGACGATGTCAACCAACACTCGAGAGTTCATGCGCTGTTGAAGGGATTCCAACAACGACGTCTGAATCGCAAGACCCGACAGGAAACAGAAATGCAGGAGAGCGTTGAGGGAGCTACTGCCATTCAAAGGTGGTGGAGATCAAAGATGAATAAAGCCGACAACTTGAACATTTCATCGCAACGCGGCAAGGGTTCTCTGATGCAGGTATGCCTGTCTTGTCGGGAGGGTTGGCTGACTTTGACTCTGGTAGATGCAGTATGCCCGTAAACTCGGTATGAGGTGGCTGTCGCGGATTCGACGAAAGATCGACCTCAACCAGCAGCATGCTGCGTGCATCATAATCCAACGACACTTCCGAGGCATGCGACACCTGAAAAAGTTGCGACAAAACCAACGAGAAAGACTGCTGACAGCCGCCAAGTCGATTCAAGATGCCTGGCGCAAACATAGCGCATGGAAGGCTTTTGTGCGAGATGAGATGACCAAGGCGCAGAAGCAAGCTAAGATACTTCAGAAGGAGTATTTGTTCGGGGGTAAATCACGGGAGGAGCTCAAGAAGCTGAGAGAGTCAGCAGCTTCTGACTTTGAAAGCAACACAAGTGAGCTGGGAAGGAACAAGGTGAACGCCATGCAGGACGCCGACAAGGGCATAGCCAAGGCGGCGCCAACGCCGTTTGAGGTCTGGATGGAGACGCTGCATGCGCTTCTCAAGCAGGAGAAGGAAGAGGAATCGCCGCCTGTGGCTCGCAAGCGCATGGGGATGAACGCCGTCCTGCAGTTCTCGAACCCCTCGAACCCTGACGACGTGAGCAGAGAGCTGTCGAAGCAGCGGGGAGGTGGTGGGAGGGCCCTGCACCTGACCAAGATGAACCTCAAGCGATGGCCGTACGGCATCACTGACAAGCTGCTTGGTCGGCCGATTTGGTATGAGCTGACAAGCGTCTTCTTGTCGGAGAACAAGCTTGCAGGCTTACCCGAGGACTTTTACAAGCTCACAAACTTGATGGAACTTCGCCTGAACAACAACCAAATCAAAACCATCTCACCTTCAGTCGGATACTTAAGAAACCTCAACAGCATTTGGTTGCACAGCAATTTGCTCACAACGCTACCAAGCCAAATTTCTCACCTCACGGACCTTTCCTTCCTCTCCCTCAACGACAACAAGATCTCTTTTCTTCCTTTCCAGTTGGCATCCTTATCAAAGCTGTCGAAGCTGCCTCTGCACAACAACCTCCCCCTCAAAACTCCTCCACCTCATCTCGCAAAGGAATCTTACACTCATGATGGCTGTTCGAAGGTGTTGGACTTCCTTCAGAGGTTTGTAGCGAGCATGGAGCAGCCCTTCGAGCTAGACTTGGAGAGTTTTGACATGACTGCAGTACCTGAGCTAAACCTTGCAACCAAGTGCCAAGTTATCTCTCTGTCGCGGAATTCCATCGAACAAATCCCTCAAGAAGTTTTCTTTGACATGAAGTTTGTCGTGCCCTGGCATCCTCACTTGCAGTCACTGGACCTCTCTCACAATCGTTTCGAGGTGATCTCTGACTTTCTCTTCCGCCTCACCTCCCTCAAGACTCTCAACCTCTCAAACAACCGCCTCAAAGACATTCCCGTCGACATCTTGAGCTTGTCAAAGTTGGAGGTCTTGAAGGTCGAGGGAAACCCGCTGGTTTCTCCTCCTCCCTCGGTAGTCAGCCGAGGGTTGGACGGCTGCTTTGTCGAGGGTGACTTACAGGATGACGCGCTGAAAGGCTTCTACCGTCTGACCAGGAATGACAAGTGGGAACAGAAGTACGTCAAGACCTGCAAGAAGCAGAGGGACAGGGTCTTGATCAAGACATCGCGAGAGGCAACTTCTCAGTGGCTGCTACACAGTGATGGGGCAGAGAGCCCCTGGGAGTTGCGATCCAGCGGCCTTTCATCCCACCCAGCCAAACAAGACGGCATGTGGTTTGAGAGAGACGCTGGGAGAGTCTGTGTGAATCAGTCAGTTCGCCTGAGGTTCCTCGGGATCTTGGAGTACTGCCGCAGGATTTTGCTTGTCAGAGAGCAGAGGAACGAAATCCTGAGACTGAGAGGGAAGATTACAAAGGAGAAGAAGAAGATGAGCATGCAAGATCTGCGAGTGACCAAGCAGATGTACAAGGAGAAGATGTTGAGTGTTTGTTTGGATCTCAGCTACCTGGAATTGCATACGTTGCCACCACAGATCGAGGACAAGCTTATTCGAAAACTGATCCTTGACAACAACCTGATCAAACGTTTACCAGGTTTCATCTTTCATTTACCCCTTTCTCATTTGTCGTTCAATCACAATCTCATCAAAGAAATTCCAAATGAAGTCAGCAAGCTTCAAGATCTAGAGATCCTGTCTTGCATAGGAAACGAGATCAAAACGTTGCCATCTTGTCTTCGCCAAAATGTCAAGCTATCGTCAGTGTTTGCAGGTGGCAATCGGATCAACATGGTTGCAGCTGTCTTAGCAGATCTCGAACATTTAGAGTATCTCGATTTCTCTCACAATCCGATCTCGTCTTCAACACCTCAAAAGGATTCTCTGTCCAGCCTGCGTGTATTGGACCTTTCGTATTGTGGCTTTGACAACTCATTGCAAGTGATTCCTCAACTCACAGGGTTACTTTCACTGAATATGTCGAACAACCAACTGACGCAGATACCTCCTTCCGTCTTTCACATCAAGTCTCTCCAGGTCCTTGTCATCGCCAAGAACATCATTCAAAGTGACGACCTCAGCTTTGAGCTTCTTTTCAAGCACTGCAGAGAATTGCAAGCACTTGATGTCAGCGGGAACTCCATGACCTCGTTCCCTCCCATGTTGACCATGTCGCACAGTCTTCTGAGCATTGACCTCTCGCTCAACCATCTCGCAGCTTTTCCTGCCGCGCTGAGGAGCATGGCGAACTTGAAAGTTCTCAACCTTGCTCGAAACTACATCCAAAGTATCCCCTCCGAATGCGGGTTCTTGTCTTCACTGCAGGAGTTGCTTCTGGCTGGGAACCAGTTGCGCCATCTCGCAGCGGAGCTGAGACAATGTACGAGCTTGGAGGTACTGGATCTGAGCGACAACAAGCTGAAGAAGCTGCCGCCGCAGCCTCTCATGGCTCAAGTTGTGCTGGGGAATTTAGAGAGGCTGAGAGTGTTGGACGTGTCAGGCAATGCTCTAGAGTTTGTTCCACAAGACATCACGCTCTGCTCTCAGCTCCAGTCCTTGCGGTGCCACGGGAACCCCTCGCTTTCGTCGGAGCTTCACAAGGCGCAGGAAGGTTTCTTTGGGCAACTTCAAGTCACAGTCAAGAGAGTTTCGTTTCCTCCTCCTCGTCCCTCCAAGATAAACTTTGTGCACATGGAGATCTCGCTTGAAGGTTCGGCAGCTACAGCTCGCTATTCTTTTCAGACTGCAAGCCGAGCTTGCACGGCTGTGGCTCAATTCGATGAGACCTTTCAGTTCATGATTCAAGATCTGACGGCTTGTTTGCTGTTGCGCCTCAAGTCTGACAAAGATTCCAACGAGAGTTTTGACCACTCGACCAAGTTTCCGGTGAAGCTCTTGCTGTTATCTCAAGCGCAGGTTTTGCAGCAGTTCGACAGCAGGGCTCTCGCAACAATGTCCGAGTCCTGCGACCTCGTGAGAGGAGACGAGGGAGAAGTTTTCATGACGGCAGAGCGCGAGGCTTGTTCGCTCATCATGCTGCTGCGAGGGTCTCTAACTGAGCGGACAAGCACGGGAGTCAGACGCTTCCATGCAGGAGCCATGCTCGGCTTAGAGTCGCTTGCCCAGGGCTCGAGCTTGGAGCACAACTTGCAGTTGTCGAGCAACGCGATCTTGCTGCTCCTTCCTAGCGCGAGCTTGTCGACGCTGATGAGAAGCAACCCGGCTCGATTGCCCTACGTGCTGATACAGAATGAGGTCTTGTTCGCTTCCGGCGGTCTAGAGCAATTCTGTGAGCAGCTGCCGCAGAAGCTTCTGACGCAGCAAGGACGGAAGGAGTACCAAGAGAAGGTCTTGACAGCGGCTCTCAATCACAAGTTCTCAACCCACGAGCAAGAGACGGCCATCAAGTCGCTGCAGGAGCTCCTCTCCCGCCTTGAGACCGCGTTCCCTAACTTTCACAGCATCGCCATGGAGTCGTTTGACTCAAAAGCTCAGAGTGAGTTCCAGCTCTCTCCCAGCTCTCTCGACTTGTCGAAGTCGGTCATCGAGCACGCGGACACGCTGAAAAAGCCTCAAGTTTCTGTTGCGCTGGGAGTCAAGGAAGTGTCGGTTCTGGAAGGGTTCAAGTACCTCATCAACCACTCGCAGGCGAGGGCCTCGCCTCAGTCAAGGTCAGCGGATGAGCAGCAGAACCAAGTCAGCGATGAGATGGTGATGAGTGAGGAGGAGATCGACTGGAAGCGAGAAGAGGAGGAGATGAAGGTGGTGAAGAGAGCGTTAGAGGAAACCAAAAGCTTCTTGCTCTCCACGAGATATCACAGAATGTGGGAGTCGATGCAGTTGATGTACTTTGTGCAAGGAAACATGGACAGGCCGTGGGACTACGCGCATGACACGAGGTCCGATCTTGCTGTCGGACATTTCTACGGCATGAAGCATGTGTTGGAAGCCATGATCAGCTTGCAAGACCCTTCAGACATGCTGACCTCCAACCCTGGCAGAAACTTTCACCTGCTCCAGCAGATTCAAGCTAGCCTGGACGCAAAGTACCGCCGAAAATCAATCGCTGAGGAAGGCAGCCAAGACCGACAAGTCAAAGAAACGCCCGAGGTGGCGGCCGTGGTCAAGAGGAGAGCCGTTGACTCGTGGGAGTGGCTGTGCGGCAGGATCATGATGCATCCCAAGTTCATCGCCTTGTCAAGAGCGCAGATCGCCGCCCAACCCTTCCAAGACTGGCAGATTATGGCCGTGAAAGCCATGCAGGAAAACGGGGAGATCGAGTACAAGATCCAACAGGCAAGTGCAGAGCTGGACAGGTTGGGGGCAGAGAGGGAGCGCGCGGAGGCAGAGCAGAAGAAGAACTTCGACCGGTTGAGCTCGGGATGGAACCGTGAGGCAGCCGCCAAGCTCAAAGCAGCGAACCAGCAGGTGAGCTCGATCAGCAAGCGGTCGGAGCTGCTTCGATCGAATCGGACGAGGCTGAAAGCTTTTCTGCACTTGAAGAAGATGGAAGACAGCAAACGCTTCTCGCTCAGCAGCACCCGAGCACAAGACGTCTTCGATGCCGTCGTCGAGCAAGCCGAGGCAGGCTCTATCGTCTTCCGCGACGCCTCCTCCTCCATCAATGAAGAGCTCTCAGCTTCAGCTGGGTCCCTGCTGCTCGACGGGTGGTCTTCCGAGGACTTGCAACATTGGCTGGAGGCCAGCGAGTCACTGGCGACAAGGTCACGGGAGGAGCAGGAGGAGCTGATCAAGAGGCTCAGCTCCTTCAACATTCGCCCGCGCATGTTCGTTCACCTCACCAAGGAAGACCTTCTACGCATGAGGTTTCGGAGCGCTGACGCCTGGATCATGCTGCTCGCCGTCCAAGAGCTCAGACAACACCTCCGGTTGCCTGCTCATGCTGACTTCAACCGGCGCCTGGCACTCAAACTAGCAGAGATGAAGCTCAACTCCTCCGTCTTGACTCTGCTGGGCAAGGACTTCAACATCAGAGAGCAAGACATGGCGATGCTGCTGGACGCCTTCAAGCGCTTCGATCGCCAAGACGTCGACGAGGTCCAAACTTGCGACCTCAGGGACGTCTGTGCCGAATGTCACCTGCCCATGAGCGACGAACAGTTTGAGCGGCTGGTCAGCAAGCTAGGGCTGAACAAGAGCGAATCATTCGATTTCATCTCCTTCTGTCAAACCTTCCAAGAAGCGCGAGCCATGGTCACACACGAAGGAAAGTTGACATGAATGCTCACACCAAGCCTAGAACACTTGCATTGACAACTCTACATTTACGTCTCTATTGACAGCATCTCGATCATCAGTTTGCAAATCCATCCGGAGGCGTCCACCAGTCTTTTGCATCTTCGTATGCTGAAGCAACTTTTTCATCATCGACCTCAACAGCAACAGTCAGGCATACCGTCTCTCGCGGCCTCTGAGTCCTCCGTCGCCGCTGCCAGCAGCAGAACTGCCACAAAGTCAGGCTCACTTGCACACCAACTGCTCTCCTGCCTCCACCTGCTGTTTTGAGCCTCTGCGAAGTCGGAAACTCCGCCATGTGCATGCGCTTGTGCGCGACCTCCAGCTACAGTCAGCACGTGAACTCCCAGCACGAGCCCAGCACACCTCCACCGGCAGAAGCCCTTCAACGTGTCGGCGGGACGTGTCAGCCCCGTACTTGAGCAGCATGGTGATGGCCTTGTTGCTGGCCTTGGCAGCTGCGAGATGGAGAGGCGTCTGCCCGACTAGCAACGAGTCTCAGCTTGCCGCCAGCCGTCAGCCTCTGCTCACAGTCGTTGGTCATGTCGATGGCCGCGCCGTTGTCCAGCAGGATCTGAATGGCTGAGACGCGTCAGGAGCTCCAGACCCTCTCACGCCCCTCACCTTTATCGTGATCATTGAACGCTGCGTAGTGGATGGGACGCCATCCAGCGTAGACGCTCCTGGAGGGCAGGTCAAGAGAGAGAGGCCTTGATGGGAAGCAGGATGACAGATAGTTCGGGTCAGCTCCGCAATCAATCAGTTCCTGCATGTACTTCCACTTGCCTGACAGTTTGTTCAAGTGAATTTCACTGAGGTGCTCCAACGGTTTTTCTCACCTCGCAAAGCGCAGCTTCTCAGCTCTTCTCCGAGTTCATTCCACACGTAAGGAGTTCTGTTTGCCGGCTTGTTCCTCTCGACTGCTCAGCCGTCAAGGTGCAAGCATCTTCCTCCTCAGATATCACTTTCATGAAGGTCCTCCATCAGTCTGTTTGTATGATCCTCAATAAACTGTACATTATCCCTTCAAACAACCCATGACTCGGAAACTTGTAGAGCATTACCTGAGCTCTCTTTCTGGCAGCCTCGTTGTCCACACCGAACAGCTCTGCCTCGCATCGCTCAACGTCGGGATCTTGCACTGGATCCTCGTCCTTAGGAGCCCAAGGAAGTTTCTGCAGCATAAATTTCATCCAGACAGCCCCAACACTGAGATCGTCACCAGCCCCTGGCATTGCCCATATTCAGAAAGGTCTGTTGGGAGGGGATCGACTTTCTCCTCTGGTGCTCGCCAGTGACTCTGCGTTCGATGTGAGTCGCACAGAAGGATCGAGCTCGACTTCACCGTTGAGTTGCTGTCAATCGTACACCACTTTGCTCGCTCTCTCTCCTTCATGTCGGGGTCAAGCAGCCGCCACCTGTTCTTGCATGACAAGAGAAGAAGCGAACAGGATGGAAGACCAAAGAGGGAAATCGTTGTCGTACTCCACTCGTTTGCTTCCGTTGTACCAAGAAAGCGCCTCCTCCTCAGCTAGCTGCGTTCACACAGAGATCAGACGAAGAGCTTTCTTGTACGTCCCTTGTCTCACCTTCCTATTCTCCTCCTCTCTGAGTTCCTCCCTTCTCGCTAGGGCCTGACGGTAGTGAGCGCAGGGAGGGTGAAGTTCAAGTAGGCGGGGGAGGATGAAGTTGACCGCACCTCGAGGTCCCTCTGATCCAACTCCTTGGCAATCTTGTCCTGCAAGTTGAAAGTGAATGAATGAAAGAAAATCACAAAATATCCCTCACAAAGTAGTCTGGGTCGACTCGATCGACAGGCTCAGGAAAGACAAAGTCATCTTTCGATGCATCGCCGCAGCTCCATGGGCGCGTTGGAGTGTATCTGTGGACATGTTTACCTCCTCCCGCCTCTTCCTTCCTCTTCTTCTGCTCCCTCCCTCTCCATGACCCCATGCTCCCTTCCTACTCCCCCATCATGTTGTGTCAGTCCACCTGTATTTGTATACTCTGCCATCGTCCTTTCGCACCTGGAGCACTGTCAAGGTAATGAGCGAAGGAGAATGGGATGAAACAGGAGATGAAGGTCGTGGTGGTGGTGAGGAGGAGGAGGTGGAAATAGCAAATGAGAAGAGATGGAATTACACAGAATTCATCTGGATCAACATAGTTGCATCCAGCTTCTCCTTTTCTCTTGTCCTACTCAATTTTCAGCACGTCCTCTTGATGAGACTTCATCGCGATTCTCACTTCTTCTCTCATTTTTCGCCTCTGCTCATCGTGCAGTCTTAACTCTTCCTTGCATTCATCCCTTCATGTGCATGACTCAAAACATCGAAGCATCTGCATTGCAGATTATTCCGTACCATAGCTCTTGGTCTTCTTTGTTCGCATTCTCAAGGCGGCCAGGTTCGTAGCTGAATTCATCGTCGTACATGTCTTGAGTGACCTGTCATGACATCTTTCACACTTGTTTGCACGTTCTACAAGTGACAGCACATTCTCGCATTCAATGCTCTCATCACTTGAGAACAAACCACCACGGAGTTGCAGAAGTTTGACTGGTTGATGATACCGAAAGTTCAAGTGTGACAAGAGGTGTCGATCTGGAGCCCTCAGATTCAGACAAGCTATTGAGCGTGTTGATTGCTCATAAATGCCAAGAGTAAACACGACGAGGAGTGTTGAAAATAGAAATCTGAACAACGCCATCGCTGACAGACGAAATTTCGCCAACTCGTTTAGATCCACTCGAAAGATGAAAGTCGCAGAGGAACTTGCTGGGTCAAACGAATGCGAGCAAGACTTCTAAAATCACTTCTTCACTTTCAATTGTGAATGTGCATTCCCATCATTTCTTGAAGGCCTAGGGTATCCGTCACTGGGTTGAACAAACATCGATGATTGTACAAGACCTCAATCGCGCATGAATCACAGCAGCAACGTCGGGCAGTTCAGACTCTGCAAGCAGAAACAAGTCAGTTACAGGACTTCAACTTCTGCAGTTCCTTCAGTCGTCGACTCTTTCGGTAATTTTCCTCCTGTTCATGAGCTTAATTCAGATGGAAACATATTGATCCAATAAATGGGTCACAGTGACAGACATCAAGACTTTGGAGACATTCCGGAATGTTGACATGAAATATCGCACCTTGTACCAAGTCCTCGTTTTGTCCAAGAGCCTCGTCAAAAGTTTCAAGATCTTCTTCTGAAAACAAGAGTCAGACTGGTAGCAATCGTCTAACGACTTGCCTTTCAGTGCAACCTTCGCCGCAGCTTCTTTTTGCAACCTCATCTTAGATCTGGAGCAAAGGATGGTTGACCGGAACCACTCCCTACGTGTCGAAAACGCACCGAAACTTGGCGATATCATCCTCCACTTCCTTCACGGCAGAATCGAGTTTTTATGTGAGATCCGAGCTATTCTTCTTCAGCTGTCCATAACAGCTTGCTTCAGCAGAAAGAAATTAAGTCCCTACCGAACACCTTGGCTTCCTCCTCCTTGACGCTCTTTTCTAGTTTTGCGATCTGCCAAAGATTCTCACGCAACCTTGGACCCCAACGAACTTCATCCCAATTCTGCATGCCGCCGTGCTCATCGACGTCCCTTAGAAAGAGATTTTGTGAGGAGATAAAGCAAGAAGTGACGCTGAAAGGGAGAGACATAGGACATGGTTCAGGAGGATGAGCAGGAGAGGACAGGAGACAGAAAGAGAAAGAAGGGAGGATGGGTGGACCGAGCTAGGGGGACGATGCAGGAGAGCAAGGGAGAGGGAGAGACAGGCAGAGACAGACAGACAGACAGACAGACAGACAGACAGACAGACAGACAGACAGACAGACAGACAGACAGACAGACAGACAGACAGACAGACAGACAGACAGACAGACAGACAAGTAACGGCAGGAAGGAGAAGCAGGAAGGGAGAAATGCAGGTAACGTCGGGAGGGTGTACCCAAGCCTGCATGATGGTCGGCATTGCGACTAATCCCGGGCAATAAAACTTCCCGGGCGCCCCGGCCCGGCCGCAGGTTCTGCTAGGGGCCCGGCCGGACTCCGGCGGCCGGGCGAGTCCACCGTCGTGGCGGCACCGTGCCCATCATCCTGGCATGCGGCTTCGGATCACCAAATGCCGCGGCTCAACTGTGGGCCGCAATCCGGATGATCCGTGCCTCCCAGAGTCCCCGGCCCGGGCGCCGGTCTGATCAGTGAGGCTCGGACATGCGGGATTGAGTCAGACTGTCACGGTGAGGCTCGGAATCCGGCCCGATCATGCCGCGGGGATGACTCAGCGCTGCGGCTGATCAGACTCAGCCGGGCTCAGGCGGTGACTTGACTGAGAGAAAGTTCGGAACGGTCGGGTCCGACCCGCGTACGGCGTTCCGACCGTCCGTCACCCCGGCGTCCGTGATGATCTGGGCCAAGTGGGGACTACGGCTCAGGGCTGAGAAAGTGGCACAATGAGCAGTGGGAGCCGTCCATCTTGAGGCATAAAACATAGACGTACGGTAAGCATGAATAGCATTTCATGGTCAATAAAGGTACAAGGGCCGAGGTTGGTCGCTGTCACTGGAATGCGGGCAAGTGACTTGACTCACCAAGGTCAACAGGCATGTTAGCGTCCTCACCTTAGTGCTCCAGCACTGCGGCTTGTATCCTCCCTGCGGTCATCTGATGGATCGATCAGTCATAATAATATTCAGGATGACAAAGTTTTGCGACCCGACCTGAGTGTTGATCGACAAGAATCCAATCTCGAAACGTGGGCGACTCGGAGGGGAGCGTCTCGCTCCGAGTGTCCCTGGCACCTGTTTCTGCAGGCACATCAGGAATACGAGCAGGGAAGTAGCCGGATGAGAACGGCACTTCAACCTTGATGCTCCCCATCCTCCATCTGCCCACGGAGATATGTGACTTGGATACTCAAATATCTGCATGGCAAATTAATTGCTTCTTCTGCGGACTCACTGACTTGCTATGCCTTGGAGCAACGCGACGCATTCTGTGTGAGACGATGTTGTCTTGCTTGAGACTTGGCGACAGAGAGATCTGATATCCATGCGTGATGTTCTCGTCTTGCTCGTGCTCCATCAGCTTGTAGATCGGCGATGAGTCTTGACGAAGGAACGTCAGATGTACAAAAGATCCCTCTGGGCCCAAGATCAAAGATGCAACCTGTAACATGTCAGCATCAACATGATCAAGCACGAAAAAAAAAGGGCAAGGTTCACCTCAAACCTAGTCATTCCATCTACATGCTTGCCATCGATCTTGTGCAAGATGTCTCCTTTTCTTAAATCATCGCATTTCGAGCAAGCGCTGCCTCGCAAGAAGCCATGGACGATGAACTTGGACCTCTCTCGCAATAGGAGCAGACCAACGCCCACTCTCCTACCGAATCGAAGATTCCACTGCTCGTTCCGTAAAATCTTCCACCTGCTCGACAAACGAGTGGTTCAATCATCCAGCGATGATCTCGACCAATGAGCTTACTCATCATTGACATATCGGGGTGAAAATAATTCTGATTTCCATTCACTCTTACGATCTTGCCTTAAAGAATGAATAAAACATGTCAGATTCAAAACCCATCCACCCAGGTGCCGCTGTGCTACGTACCCTGTGAGGTTCACAGCAGTTTCTGAGTCTGATAATTTCGTCTGTTGTGGCGTCACGTCATTCTGCTGTACTGAAACTGACTCATGATCCTGAGAACCATCGGATGCAGAGGATGGAAGAAGTTGCCAGAGCCAGAACCCCTGGGTTCCTTCTGGTTTGTTCGGGGTCGAAGCAACAACTGAATGTGAATCCATTGCGCTGGAGAATTTCACGTGCTCCCTGTGACAACTTCCGTTGTGAGAGGCCTCAGCACTTGAAGGATCCTCAGCTGGGTGCCGGCTTGCGCTGCCATGCCACTCGGCAGCGATGGAGTGCTCAGGTTGCGGCAAGCATTCCAATATGCCAGACATGGTTGATCGCACAAAAATTCCGTAGTGACCCGGCGAGGATCAGAGCTACTGAGCACTAGAGGACCGTCAAAAACATTTGACTCGGGGTGGGGTGGGGTGGGGTACATAGGCATCAAGTACGGGTGCCTTCCTCTCCTTAACTGCTGATATCAAGGGGGTGGGTTAGTTCGGAGGATTTGTGAGTAAAGAAACTTGAAATGCCGTGAGTCGCATTTGGTCCAGTTGTAACGTTCCTGTAACGGCAGTAAAACCAGAAAAACCAAGACAACCAGCTAGCTGATCATTTTCTGTAGGGCAAAGGGTGGTCAACTTTGGGTGGTGAGGAGGGTCCTTCTAAGTCAACTATGGGGAATAAGAGGGGGTAGGGTGGTGCTTTACCTCCCAGGGCTCAAAGTCTTTTGGAGGGAGTCAGGAGGCACGGAGAGGAGGGGTAGCAAGATCATGCACCCCATCCCTTGTAGGGGTGGTGGAGCTCATGACTAGGTGGGGGTAGTCACAACACTGTATGCTCCCCGTACTTTTGCGTAGGAAAGAGGGGGTACTAGAGGATGGGACCTTCGGCTCAGCAGTAAGGGTAGCTGAAACAAGGGGTGGAAGAAACTTGGGGGGTAAAGGGGTAGTGAAGCGTTGGGGGCTGACGAGAGCATGTCCGGGAGTGTAGATGCAGGGTAGGCAACAAGAGGATGGGAGGGAGGCGAAACCGATGCGAGAGATAGGGATGTAGCAATGGCAGGGAAGACAAAGAAGAAGAACATGCGCAAGAGTGAAGAAAGATAGGGGAAATGCTAGAATCTTGCGCAAGAGTGCCATGGTTGTGAAGGTTGCACTGCGGTAGGGCAGGGCAAAGGGGCAAAGATAGGAAAGGCGAACACGTGAATTGAGGACGATTGCATGAATTGAATAACAGAAAACCAAAATTCGAACTGAAACGATGAAAACAAATTGGCATCAACAGAAGTGTAAGAGGCCTTATGGGGAGAAACCAATTAGCAACATGTGTTTCATTTCTCCTGGATGGTTGTAACTCCTCTTTCAGGCGTCTCAGTTAGACATATCCCACGCACCGACAAACTGCCCAAACTGATATAGAGTTGGCGCGATGGGCTGTGGAGGTAGCAAGAACACTGCCGCCCAGCCTGTTCCTAGTGCTCAGATTGATTCACCGGTCAAGGATCCAGTCAAACCGCAGGAGAAGAAACCTGATCCTTCCCCAAAACCTGCGCAGCCTCTGTCAACCGACCCTAAGCCTTCGGCTCCTTCTCTGAGCTCGTCGAGTCAGAAGCAAGAAAGCAGTCCCCCTGTGCCCGTGCAAGTTGTCGCAGGTATGAGCATGCTTTCATGGACAGAGTATCTCACCATGTAGCTCCAGCTCCAGCTCCAGCTCCAGCTCCGGCTCCGGCTCCGGCTCCAGCACCTGCAGCCGACGCTGAAGTGAAAGCGAAAGACGTCTACAAGCCATCCCCGTTCAAGGCGCTTCCGTCCGTTGTCAGCTGGTACCCTATGAAGGCTGTCGCAGCTGCAAGTCCAGCCGTTATGCCAGCCAAGGTGGAGACCCTGGAGGAGGGGAACCCAGCCGTGGGTGTGGAGACTGTGAAGCAAGAAGCTGCTGTTGTCAAAGATCAGGTGCCGGACAAGTACACAATCATCCTGATCCGCCACGGAGAGAGCCAGTGGAATGTTGAGAATCGCTTCACGGGATGGGTAGACGTGCCTCTGGCGCCTTCGGGGGAAGCAGAGTCTCATCGAGCAGCCAAGGCGATCGAGCAGGAGAAGCTGGGCATCGACGTGGTGTATTCAAGCGTTCTAAAGCGCGCGATCAAGACCGGAATGAACATCCTGGAGGACCTTGACTTGATGCACATTCCTATCATCAAGCGCTGGAAGCTCAACGAACGGCACTACGGTGCTCTCCAGGGACTGAACAAGAAGGAGACGGTTGAGAAGCATGGGATGGAGCAGGTCAATGTCTGGAGGAGGTCATACGATACTCCTCCTCCAGCCATGGAGGAGGATCACGAGTTCTGGCCAGGGAAGGACCCGCGCTACAAGGATGTCAGGCCTGCCGAACTGCCCAAGTCGGAGTCGCTCAAGGACGTTGTTAACAGGTTCATGCCTCTCTGGGAGGAAGAGCTCGTTCCTGAGATCAGGTCTGGCAAGCGTCTCCTCATAGCCGCCCATGGAAACACGCTCCGAGCGCTGGTGAAGCACCTGGACAAGATCCCCGAGGACGTCATCACCGGCCTCAACATCCCCACAGCCGTTCCTCTGGTCTACGAGCTGGACAAGGAGCTCAACCCCATCAAGAGCGACCGCTCCTGGTCTCCTCTCTCGGGGTACTACCTCGGCGACGAGGAGGAGATTCGAAGAGCCATCGATGGAGTCTCCAACCAGACCGCTGCCTCTCCTTCCAAGGAGCCGCCAGCCGTCCCGGCCCCGGAAGAGTTGTCTTCCAACCCAGCCCCGGCCGCTGAGTCTTCCACCGGGTCGGCCCAGGCCGAGTCTTCGGCCCCGGCCCCGGATGTCGAGAAGCCGGCCGAGTCCGTCAAGTCAGTCGCAACGTTCAGCTCTCTTCCATCTGTAGTCTCATGGTATGGCAAGTGATGGCGAGATGCTTGAGGGCACATGTTGTACGACTATGATGCCTGAATGACGTGGCACAAGCTTCTCAGCCGCTTGCTCCGCCCACTCTCCTTCATAGCTTCGCGGCTACACCCTTGCACAAGGCAGCAGGAGAGCCTGAGGAGAGAATCTTTACAGCTGTAGAGGAGATTGCTGCGAGATTAAAATGATTGCCGGATTCTCCATCACGTTTGACATGTTCAATCAAACTCCCTGACAGTCCTCCTCACTTAATTGAATTTAGCTTGTTAATTGTCTCACAGGCGCGACTAGCCAAGTCGCATGCAGATCCGTGCCGGGCAACATGAAGCGAACGACAGCCGGACCAACGGACCTGTCGGTCAGCAACGTCATGGAGCAACGTCATCTACATCCCCCGCGGTTGGTCATCTATTGAATGATGCCCGCCTCCATGCCTGCAATGACGTCTCAACTTGACACTCTGATGGAGTCTGCGGTACCTGTGCGCTTCGCGAGAGGCTTGAATCGTTCTCTCTCCCCCATCTGCCAATTCCTTCACTGCCTCTTTCCCTCGTCTCTCGCTCAGACATTGCGAAGGAGCTTCCATATCAACCTTCACTCCATGAGCTCCAAGTTCTTCCCTGCAGAAACAGCTACGTCACAATCTCTCGGTAGAACCGAAAGGCTCCTCACAGGGTTGAGATCTGCCCTCGGTTAATCTTGTGGTACAGCTGGGCACGAAAGTCAATCACTCGGCGGTGGAATGAGTTATTTTCTTCTTCACCTCTGTCCTCAAGTTTGCGGGGACGCGACTGCGCATGACCTGAGCGAGATATCAGCAAGGGGGAGATGAGACTGAAAGTTTGCGAGACCAAAGCAAATAGCTGGGCTTGTGATGGTCGATTTCTTGAAGGTCTCGCAGAACTTTCTGGATCATTCCTTGTTCTCGTGGCCGTGAGCTGCGCTTGACTTGGGATTGAACCGTCCTGATTGCTTTCCTTGACCACATGCTGGGGAGGACCGAAGGGTCCCGATGACGTCACAGGTTCTGCAGCCTCCACATCACGTATACATTTTCACGTGAAACTACTAGACTGCACACCTTGACTTGTATGGTGATGCTGCGTTTCCTCCCCTGGCGTCTTGATCCCTTCACTTGCATGATCATTTTCGAGCTCAAGGTTCAAGTCCGCCAAATCTGAATGCTTCTCCTGGATAACATCTCTGCTTCTCTCGTCCTGCACAGACATAGGTTGCCTCCTGGCTTTGTCTACCTCTTCCTCGCCCACTGATCGAACCGCGGCATCTTTGATTTCTGTCTCTGTATGCCTCTCAGCTGCTTTCTTGCCCTCAGCCTCGTCGACATCCGTATGTGGAGGAGGAATCGACGACGTAGTCAAGTCAGAAGCCTCGGCCCTTGGAGTTCCATCCAACAAGTTCTGTGTGCTACTTTCATCAGAATATCCATTCGAGTCCTGCGAGGACGAAAATGAACTCAGAGGTTCACAAAATCCTGTCACTTCCATGTACCATGACCGAGTGAGCGGGTGGCTCTTGCTCTCCTTGTTTCGCCTGCCACGCCTCTGCAATCTGCCATGAACGATGGGTCACACTTCAGCTCTGTCGACCCAACACCCGAGCTGCACCTTGAGCTGCGAGCGAGGGTAGTGGAGAGCGTCGTGGCCTGCATTCACGTTTGCTGATCCCTTAGAGTCCAGCCCGAGGTTAGCAAGCAGCCAGTCCATGGCTTCATTGATTCCTTCCCCGTAGATTGCACTGGTGGGCTGCACAAACCACTTTCGCTGTGCCATACTCAGCTCGAGTCGGGCAGGAGAAGAGGACACCTTTGACCCCACAGCCGTCGACAGGCCCAAGGAGTCAGCGATCTCTTGCGCAGACATGGCGTTGGGGATGTCTTGCTTGTTTGCTAACACGATCACAATCGCTCCCTGAGATAGCAAGCAAGCAGTCAGTGCACACAGCGCCCTCAGTCTCTCAGCTTTCCTGCAGCCTCTCGTCCTTGAGGAGCTCGAGTAGCTCTCGTCGAGCCTCGTGAATCCTCTGACGGTCGGATGAGTCAACAGCGAACAGCAGACCCTTCGTTCCCTGCGTAACCATAAGAACACGTTCACTGAAGTCGTCCATCTCCTGCCTGGAAGTGATACTTCCACAAAGGCCTATGTGCTGCCTGTCCACCGAGGTCCCAAACTGACAACTTGACATTCTTGTAACGAATCTCTTCGAAGTTACTGACGATCGTGGGATTTGTGCTCACATTTTCTCCAGTTTGCAACCTGTACAGCCATGTTGTTTTGCCTGCTGCATCGAGCCCCACCAAGATAAGGCCATGCGACTTCTCTGCACAGGCACAACCGGAAAACATGACTCCCATCGTTGCACGCAATCGGTATTTTGTGAGGGATGGATGAAGGGAGGGAGGGAGGGTTCGAGGGAGGGAGGGAGGTGGGGAGGTGGGGAAGGATGTGTCTTGACGCTGTCTCAATGGATTACCAACATGAGGATACGGGAGCACTTCCTGCCGCTTGTTCTCTTCGCTCTTGTACCTGGCAGCCTATGCCTCTCTAAGCTACTCGCACCGCTGGCTGTGCCATCAAGTCACAGTTTCCAAGGATATATCAACGAGCAACAGCAACGAGCTTGCCAATGAGTTGCCTTCTCTTCACAACCCTCTCGTCTTCTCGCACGCCTTCGTCTCCCCTCCTCCTCCTCGTCCTCCTTCAAATGTAGTATTCAGCATCCCGCGCTGTAGAAGGGAGCCGTTAAAATGCTGAAACGGAAGAATCAAAACGAAGCAACGAACTTGTTGCAGTATCTTTTAACGGTCGCAACGACGGTCCACGACCCGGATCAAGTACCAGAAATAGCAGCGGGCGACATGGGCGGTGAGTAGTTGAACTCTTTGTGAGGAATGGATGGAGGGATCGAAGGAGGGTGACCCTGAATCATGATATTCTCAACACAACAGACCTTGTCGAATCATGATATTCTCAACACAACAGACCTTGTCGAATGATGAAATTCTGAACACAACAGACCTTGTCGAATCATGATATTCTCAACACAACAGACCTTGTCGAATGATGAAATTCTGAACACGAGTGCATGCTGAATTTCAGAAAGGCAGTTGTTGTCCTCTTAGCTCGGCATATGCCATACGGTTAGCAATGCGTGTGTCACTCACTTAAGAAAGACTGAGAGACGTTGATGAGCGCCTGTTGGGATGGATCCTCAAACCGTCAGAGAGATTGACGTCCACCTGCAGGTCTTGGTAGCGAATGCTCGTACATGGACACCCTCGTTGCCCCAAATCTTCGGAGGTGAATCGATGTGGCTGCTGCAGTTGTCTTCTCACTCACAGTCACCTTGCATCAGGCGAAAGAACAACGTTGTCATGGAACATGCACGATACTTGGTTGCATGTGCCATGATCTTTGCTCTCATTCTGGTCAGCTGGCAAGTGGTACAACAAGGATTCCATGAGAGTGTTCTGGGATCGAAGCAGTCCTCGACAGGGAAGATGGGTCAGGTTGAATATATCTTGTTGCTCACTTCATTCGAACCTGAAGATCATGACAACGAACAGGCACAGAAATCGATCAAACCAGGACGAGTAGATCAAGTCAGCCCAGCTGGAAAAAAGAGTGAAAACATCAAGACATTGTCTGTGCAGTGCAAGTTTCATGCTGTTGTCTAACAATTTTCAAAAGCACCAATGAAGTCAAGGAAATCCAAGACAAGGCCAAAGCTCGATTGGAAGCTCGTCAGATGGTATAGATTGACTTCAACTTCGGCTTGCGATGCCATGATACGACAAACGCATGGTTATTTTGTTGTGTATAGGCATATCAACATGTTCTCAAGAATAGCAAGGGCGATACAAAAGTAATACGACTCCTTCTTTTTTATTGCCTTCCTCTGATACGTTGGTCAAGCAAAAATTGACTGATCGGGAATGGAGATCAATGAAAGACAAGTATGAGAAGGCAGCATTGGAGGACATCACAAAAGAAGAAAAGAACAAAAAAATGAGCAGTGAAGGCGACTCGATTTTCAAAGGATACGCTCAAAAAGCAGAGAATCTACTCGCATACGATGAATTCAATCATCTACAGAACAAGTCGATGGTAAGCTGAAAGTCGATCCTCCACTTCTTTAGGTGCAATCTCACATCATGCAGACTGTGGAAAAGCTTCGATCCGCTCAAGAAAAATCGGAACTTGCAGCTTTGAAGAAGGCAACAAGCGAGGTAATATGGGATTTGATTAGAGATTTGCCGAACGTTAACTAGAATGATAGCTGAAAAAGGAAGATATGTATGCCTTTAAGATGCGCCATGAAGCTATTGCCAAGAAGCAGATGGCTGCAGAGAAGAAATTCCAAGAACAACTCCAGCAAACTATGAAAGATTTGAGCACGCCAGAGAACCAGCCCGAGAATAGCAAAGGGGATCATGTCAGAAGCATGATCAAGGATCCTCCTCAACACACCATGCATCATGATACCAACCCCACCTCCGTTGATCAAGACTACAGCACAACGTACCAAGCAGCTGAAAAGGTTGAGGAAGCCAGAAGGCAAGCGTTCTTGAAAGAAGTGCAGCAGCTTAAAACACGGGACGAGGACGAGGTTATCAAGCGAGCAAAGCTTCTCCAGCAAGAGTCCGAGAGAGACGTTCAGAAGCGAGCAAACCTGAAGGCCCGAGAAGCGGCCAAGGCAAGGTTGGCAAAGAAGATGCTTGCAATTGAGAGCGGTGAGACCAAACCTCACGTCAATCTTGAGAAAACAAAACAGTCCAAGGATGAAGAACGGATCAAGAGCAAGAGTTTCGCTGGGAGACCCAATAGATCGAAGAAGCCCTCTCAAAATTCGAAATCCAGACAAGAAAATACTCTCCACGAGCTTGATCTGTCTTCAGACAAATACCATGCAAGCGTAAAGAGCATGTGGAATGCTGACATTGTGAGGTCACGAGAGGAGAGGATTCGACGGCTTGCATATCACAAGGAACGAGAACAACTTCTGTCAAAGGATAAAGCAGAGGAGCAGGGAGTTGCGGATGTATTGGATAAGACTTCAGCTTCTCTGCTCGAGGTGATCATGTCCTTCTGTTTTGCCTATCTGAGCCCATCGACAGCCCAACCAGCTTTCGGATGCAGCGCCTTCTCACAACGGCGATAAGCAGGGGTAAGTTTCCATGCTTAGATCAAATACATGCTCACGATGTGTTCGTAGAAATGAGCTGTTCCACAACCGTGAGAGTGAAGCACAGATGATAATCGACGACACCAACTCCTAAACTAGCTACATTACGTTACATTACATGAATTTTAAAGTGAATTCGATGAGATACTTTGTAAGTTCCAAAAAACCTTTATTTTACACATAGCCAAAAAAACAGTGATCTATAATGACAAGGTGATTTCAAAAGTCTTGGTGGTCTCTCATACCACAAAATTGAAGGGAGAGTTAACAGAGCAAAACAAGCTATTCGGGTAACAACATGGAAACGTTAAGTGTGAAGACGATTCTGCCGACAGTTCGAACCTACTACTTCGTCCAGGACAAGAATCCTTCAACCTCAGAGCAGCCCATTGATCGTTAGCAGCTGCTACCAGCCGCCTCATCGACTGTAGCCTTTCGCTTTGCATTGCATTTCGTTTCTGAACGATAATTTCTTCCCGCTGTAACAGTATGTCAAACAGAGATTCTATTTTACATCAGAGGTTTGTATACCTTAGGTCCATCCTCATGGAGTCCAAGTAAAATCGTCTCATAGCATTTGCGAGCTTCGGCACTACTTAAAATTAGAGGCAAGCACAAAGGGAGGAAAACCACCAACCTGCCATGAGCTGCCAGCCTTCTCACAAAGTCGCATGCCATCCGATGCACGTTGTCTCCAAGATCCTTGCACAGCCGAACGATTGGAACGAGATCCTTAAGTGACAAGACCAATAATTCGCAATCTGTTGCTGTGACGGCAGTTGTGAACCTCCTGCATGCGGATACCTCAGCTGCTTCAGCGTTCTTGGAGCGTGATTGTGCCGCCGAGCACAACACTTCCATCCCCACCATATTGAAAGGCTTCGCCATCTTCCGTCTTCCAGCCTCATTGCAGAGCACTTTTCCCTTCAGCACCAAAAATATGGAAGCACCCATGTCCTCGCTGCTGAAGAGGAGGGTTCCAGTCGGCAAACACACTCTTGTCATATGCGCTGCGACCTGAGAGCAATAATCTTCAGCTAATATGTCAAGAAAAATGAAAAGATTTTGATTCACCTTGGACTTTGCAAAGGCGCTTACTCCATCAAACAAAGAAAACTTGGAGAAATACTTTATGAGGTTCAGCACATGCGTTCTTCGCTTCTTGCTGACCGCTCTGCTTTCCGATTTTTTCTCCTTGATTTGCACAGGTGCAGTGGCAATATTCTGCAAAGCAGCGGGTGCATCTGTCATGAATCCAAGATTGTACAGAGAATGAATCTCCATTGAACCGTCCCCAAGAGGTAAAAATTGCCCGTTTACTTCAAATCATTCACCAATCCAGCCTGTGCAATCAGAGTGTCATTAAAGCAGGTATATCAAGCAAAAGATGAAGACTATAGGTTATCACACATTGACATCCGGATTCGCTGCAACCCCAACGATACTGGTAAATTTTTGATCCTCCAACATGCAAACTATCGCAGAGACCCTGATGACAAGCATCTACACATCTTATCGATCTAGCCTCAGCATGATCTACGCTGCCAGATCTGCTAATCAAATCAACCCTCGAGCACAACGTACAGCGATAGAACTCAGCATGTACACTCTGTCTTCGGCCATATCTCCCTTTTCCCCAACTCAAATTGACCCCCACCCCCCAATAACAATAACAGAAGCACCATCACCCCCTCTTTTTCCAGTGTTAAGTCGTTATACAGTACCCGTCCTTTTAGATCCCTGCCTTGCCCTCTCAGCCCGATGACTCTGCGGTTCAACCCTTTCCCCCTGAAAGTCCTACCCCACCCCTGAAAATTCCTGCACCTACCCTGGGAACAAACGACGGTACTACCCTTGCACTACAACCCCTCCTTCATAAGTCCATCCCCGACATGATGTGACCCTCTCTTGAAAGCACCCCACCGGGAATGACCGTACCCCTATCGTCCTATGTTATAAGTTATGTTCACAGGGGTGATTTATGGGTAGGGGTGGTTAAAACCCTACCACCCCTCCTATTGTACCCCTTCCCCCATCAAGTAGTCCTCTGCTCTCATCTCATCACTCCACTTTTGCCACGGACTGGATCCCAAGACCACCCTCATCTTCCCTATTCTCTGTGCTGGAAAAATGAGGGTAGGGTGCAACTTTCGGGGGAGGCCATGTTAACTGAAAGTTATATAACATTATAGCGATACCCCCGTCCTCAGATCTACAATGGAGTACCCCTTCAACATCCATGAAATACACCCCCATCCACCCCCCTAAACTTCCGTTGCCTGGTCGCCAGCCTCGACAATAATAAATAGATGCACCCCACCCACCCCTTCCCCTCCAATGGACCCTCTTTTGCATGTTGTTTTCACCCAACCTGGTCCACATCATGACGTACCCCTATCAACATGCTGGTCGTAGGTCCTTCGAAGGGGAGCAAACTACTACAAATTAATAAATTGTACCAGATGTACCAAGATGCTCCCATTATTGTCTCATGGTATGAAGTCAAGGGGTAGGGAGATTGCCGCAGATACTCGACAAACCTACCCTGCAGCACTTTCAATGATGTACCGTCTTGTCGAAATAATATTTTTAATATTTTTATTTTGCTATGAGAAAAACTTTGAGATCTATTTTCAATGCGGTTCCGTACAGATCCAATAGAACACCTGACATTTCAAGATTACCATGTGCTCAAAATAAAAATATAAAACTTTACAGAAAATATAAATGGTTATAACTCTAAAACCCTGCATCCCACCCCACCGTTCGTAGAAATTCGATCGGATAGGACTACCCCACCCACTCAATTGTCATTTCAAATGAAATAGCAAACAGCCAGGAAGTACCCTTTCATTACCCCTGACAACTACCCACTGTTTGCCCAATTTCAGAAAGGATGGTTTCCAATGAAACCATGTTCAGGCAATACGATTCCCCAAGTTTACTACAGAGACCGCACTGCGCCGGAGCAAAGAGCCGACTGACCGTCGACATGAAAAGGCTCACTGATCGGATCTGCGGCCGGCGGCCCGATCGCCGGGCCGGGCCGCCCGGCGCGGCGGGGGCGGGCCGCCGCGGCGGCGAAGACTCTGAATTCATGATTTTCAACGGGTTTTCGGTGCCGGTGAGTCTGTCACAGTGACCCGGTCCGGCCCGAGAGCCCCCGCTGTGCACTGCGGCAGTCACCGGCCCCGGCGCCCGCAGCCGCGCCGCGGGCCCGGGCCCGGCCGCCGCAAGTTCAGTTCACTGAACTCGGAATGTGAACGCTGAAGCCTGAGTACGGTAGTACCCGGCGTACAGCCACTCGGCGAGTCCGAGTCACCGTCACTGTCACGGATGACTCAGCGGCTCCGCCCCGGCGGCGTGACCGCGGCGGCCCACTGCCAGGCGGATTCAAGTCAATGTCACCCGATGATGTATGCGGAGCCTCCGATGCCGCAGTGCGGGGAGTGAAATTGGAAAGTCAGACTCCGCGTTGAAGCTTCCAGTGCTCGCCTCCAGGACCGGCAGAGAGCTCAGGTCGCTTTTAAGAGAGCACGAGGAGGGCCGGGACAAGATTGGCCCGGGTCTGCTACGGTGGGCGGTGGGGCGAGGAGGAAGTAGATGACCCACACCTGAGGCGAGTGGGGTTCGACCGCGCCCTTGACTCAGTGACGAGCAGCACATGAGAGTCGAGTGGTCACGTGCTGCCCAAATCGTTGCTGACATACTCCTGCTGAATCTGAGCTACGGGCTGCATCCTTGTCTGTAGGGAGGCTGTTCAGGAGCCATTTGGTCCGTGTAGTGTCGGGCGAGCACAAGGAGTGCAGTGGGCTCCATCGCCAGCCCCTGCTCCCCCCCTCCTCCTCCAGCTCTCCTCCCGCTCCCCCCAGCCCCCCCCGCTGCTCCTCCTCGCCTCTGCAAACGCCAGGGCCTTGAAAGGATCGACGGGAGGCTCGATAGGAAGCTGATCGAACTTGCTAGCTGGTTGCACGACAGGTTCAGGATAGCATTTTATCACAGCGTCTCACCTGACTTGATCGTTATGAGCGGGCGGGCAACAGAGAGGTCTTCACCCCAGCCACCCCATGAGCATAACTTCCTGCTGTAGAAGAGCAGGTTCGCCCCAGTCACGTGCTTGTGAGGAAAGCTCAGGTTGCTCGCTTCCTCCCGCGTGAGTGTGGCAAGACGAGGTCATATGACCCCTCAACCTTGACGACCTCACCTCTTCTCGCTTTCGGCGTACTTAAAGAGCGCGCCCGCCATGTTCAGGACTGTCTTCCAGGACGTTTCAGTCTCTTCCTTCACCTTTGTCTCCAGCTCCTCCAGCACGAGGACAGCTTCCCTTGGCCTTGACATGGACAGCAAGCAGGCAGCCACGTTGTTTTTGTGCCCCACATCCTGTGCGCAACACAGCACGTGTAAACCTCCTGCAAGGGTAAGGAGAGTATGAGACCGCCGGGTTCAGACGAATTGCCGTTGCCGTCCTGTCACGCATGTCAAGACTCAAGATAAGAAGGAATTTGAAGTGTAAGACCAGAAGGAGGAGAAAGCAAGGTGATAAACCCCAAGTCTGTGCAAAAACGCCCCAAGCTCCATGAACAGATACTCCTGCAGATGCTCGTGTGCACCACAACTCCTGATCGCTTCCGCGAAATCTTCGGTAGAGAGCCGAGCTTGCGGCTCAATCTTTCTGGGCAACTGATCCTTGTCTGGACAACCAGCGGACGCTAAAGCGAATAAAAAGGACGAGAGCGATGGAGTAGAAGTTGAAAATCAACGTGGTTTACTGATGGAGTTGGAATGCCCTCAGTCGCTGTCGTACATGGCTCTACTCAATATCTACAAGAGGGCTCAAGAGAGTTTGAGGATCGGGAATTGAGAGCAAAGAAGAAGAGCCCAGTGACAGTCAGCAAATGGAATTTCTTTGGTTCCTGTCAGAAAGCAAAATCACTGTCACGCGCTCAGCGTCTCAAGGTTCTGCAGGACTTTCTTGAACACGACCGGGGAGTCGTTGAGGACGCACAGCCTTCTCCCTTGGATTCAGTGGAACGAGAGCAGACATGGAGACTTTCTCACGCAATCAGCACTGGCTTCTGAGATCTCTTGTGCATCACCTCGGCGATCTGACGGGCATACACCTGTACAAGGTGATCAGCGCTTTGACGCTGTGTGTCTCGGGGTGAAGCTTTACCATGGTAACGTCATCTCGCTTTCCAACAAGAACGTTGATGCTCAATCCGTTTCTATGCACGGACTCACGTTATGACCCCACCAACTTTGCTCCAGCCCACCTTCCGCTCGACGAGTCTCTCTGCCTTCCCGACAGGAAAGTCAGCTATATCAGCATGTTGTCTACTCTCACAAACTTACACATGAATGAATGTCCCCGGTTTCCCTGTCTGTGTTACAACCACGAGCGTCTGAACCACCAATATTCATCTTACGATTGACCAAATGGGAAATCAAAGTTTTTCGTGCAAATACCCGATCAGAGTAATTGCTGATGTGAAAGTCCGTCTTCACCCCCTCTATCACCTCTGATCCCTACGTGTGCTCATGATCATCTTCATCGTTCAACACGTCAGATCAACACATTCTTACCTGTCGACTTGTCACTGGGAACGAAGACATCCCCTTCCCAGCCCTTGTTTACCCACTGCTCGCACGAGAAAACATCAGCAGGAGAACCAGGAGCAGGATGCATCGGAGCACTCTAACGAAAGGATGCGGAGAATGTGAAAGCTTTGCCGCTTTCGTTCCTCTGCTCCTTCTCCCCTTCCTCTCGCGCCTCCCTCATTTTCTCTCATTGCTCCCGCTGTTTATATTACATCGATGTTAATAGAAGTAAATGGTACAAATAATTGATCGATATATATTAGTAATTTCTTATTTTGTACTGCTAAGAGTGCTCCGTACAAATTTGTACCAGAGTTTCGAAGGCTGACAAGCTGGCCCCCGCCGGTCACCGTACCGGGCCCGGGGCGCCGGCGGCCGGGCAGCCCGGGCCGGCGGGCCCGGGGTCCGTCCGATCGGACAGTCACGGTCAGGGTGCACAGTGGCCGTGAGGCTCGCCGCTCGGACAGCGGGGCCCGGACTGCCCGGGGGCCCGGCCACACTGAGTCGGCACTGCGGCAGATCAGGGTTGGTACTCAGGGCCGGGCCCGGCGGGCGCTCCGTCCCGGCGATCAGCCTGCACTGTCCGATTGGACTGAGCGGCGCGGCGGGCCCCGCGAGTCTTGTCCCGGCGACGTATGGCTGATGGAACGTATGCCAGCCGTGCCAGTCAGATAGCGCCGAGTTAACAAAAACTCTCCTGTAAACCAAGACGACTTGCGTAGCGAGGCGGCATCATAGTAGTACGTGGGATGAAGAGGGGACTTTCCTAGCCGTCTTGTTAAGGTCCTCTCATGTCTGGATGCTTGGGTTTCACTGGCATCCTAGCATACAGTCTATCTCTCATGTGCCGAGTCCTCAATTCTGTTTTTGTGTGCATCATTAGTAAACTCGGTCTTGAGCAAAAACTGTCTTGTTACAACTAAGGTCGATGTGATATCTAACAAACTTGTATTCCGTCAATGGCCCAGCCCGGCTATGCGACAGTGTCCTCTACTCTCCTGATTGTCCTCGTACTGCCTGATTTCAAACTTAACTTCTTGGCTTTGAGAAACCGGACTCAGGCTCGGACCGTTCCGTCACTCAGGCTGGCATCTCCCGGTACACTGCCGGCCGGGCCAGGCCACTGCCAGTGCCGCCCCGGCGGACCGTGCCGCCGCCGGGGGCCGCCGCGGCGCAGGCTGCCGGGCCGCCGCGGCGGCCGCGCTGCCGGCGCGTGTGCGCCGCCGGCAGTGCGGCGTAGTAGCCCCGGCGACTCAGTCGTGACTAAGGCTTAGGCTAGTACCGTACTGTATGGGCCGTACCGTACGGTACGGTACTCAAACCCGTCCGGGAACTTTCAAAGTTTGATCGCTGAGCTATCCGATCATCGGCGATGCAAACCGGGCAATCAAAGTTTTGACGGGTCATGAGCCTTTGAGTCAAGACCGTCTCATCTTTCAATGAGTCACGAGGGTTATAAATTGTTATAGCTCTATAATGTCTCTCTCAAGTTTACAACTGACTGTACGGCACTAGAGGGCCCCTGGTTTGGCTCTTTCCGAACTGGGGGGTCCAGGGGGCGTAAAGTACCGGTACTAGTGACTACGGTATGAATGCCAGGAACTTGAAAGGTCGGTCGGACCAGGGGGTAGTCCGATGCCACTGGCAGTACCATATTTGCATTCACTCAAAGTTTAGGTACCAATGTCTGTACCCTCTTGGGTGGGGTACCAAAACAGGCTTCTGCTGAGGGTAGGGTGGGTACTAGTTGAAGTACATAGGGTACCCCTTCCTGTTCCTTCATGCATGCACGACCTACTAGTCACCTACCGCAGAGCTGCTTGCTCACTCACCTTCAAGGCACCTGCGCTAAGCAGCCTGCTCTTCTCTCCTCGTCTTGCGCATACCCTTGTTGCTCCTCCTGCTTCTCTCCTCCGTCGTTCCCTATATGGGAATTTCTGTTTATCCTTGGTTCCTTGTCCCTCTCCTTGCCGGTCTTGAGGTTATTGCTCCTCTTACTCCTCTTGCTGTTCTCTCTCTTTGCAAGCTTTCTTACTCTTGCCTCCTATTGGTGTCTTGGTTTTGATTCACCTCAATTCTTGTTAGTCTTGTCCAGTTCTCTCCTGGTGCCCTCTTCATCGGCGTACATGCTCTCCACCCCGTGTTTGAACCTGTACTCTGAGGGCCTCAATGCTCCTGCTCACCCATGCTGACACCTTGACTCCTCTTGTCCTCCAACAACGTCTGACATACACACAATCCTCGTCTGTTTTCTTTTCAACTCATCCTATGCTGGCTCGTAATCGTTATCTGCTTGCTCTGATGTTTCATGTTCTGGCAACCCAACTAGGCAATTGATGTTGACTTCCCCTTCAGCTTAGCTTGTCCGAATCCATAGCAATCTTACTTTGCAATGATAATACTTGCCATCTAACCATCTTGTCTCACCCTGTTTGTCTCCACAGGGTCTTGTCGGTCCAGCAGGCTTCAACTTCTCCTCTCAGAGGTCCTGCCATGATGGCAAACGACGTGATGCTGTTCGCGCTCAGTCTAGCATGCCTTGTTCTAAGGGCAAACGGGGAATCAGTGAGCTGTGGAGGATGCTCTTTCTCAGTATCAAACTCTGGGGTTGTCACAAGACAAGGAAACTGCGCATATAGCTGTATCAACCTCCAAATCTCCAACTCAAATGCATACCTTGTTCCAGCAGGAGTCTTGAATAATTTAACAAGCTTGCAATCTCTGGATCTCTCCACGAACAAGATAGCTACTTTTCCAGCTGAGATATCAAGTCTCACCCGCTTACGCTTCTTGCATCTTGCGTCGAATCGGCTGACTAGCATACCTGGTGGAAGTTTCGACAAGCTGATATTCTTGACACAACTGGACCTCTCAGTGAATTTGCTCACCAGCATCCCTCCCGGAGCCTTCGATGCCCTTACCAGCCTCACAACTTTATCCCTGTCCTCCAACCAGCTCGCTAGTTTTCCAACGGGGACCTTCACAAACCTTCAGCGTCTTGAGCAAATGGATCTCTCCTCCAATCAGTTGAAGGCCATACCTGCTGACATCTCGACCTTGACCACTCTCACTACTCTGAAGCTCTCGGGGAACCAGCTGACTACGATACCTACAGGGTTCTTTTCCAACATGATGAGCTTGACGAGCTTGGATCTATCTTCGAACGAGCTTACCAGCCTCCCTTCTGGGATATTGAGCATAAGAAGCTTGATATTCTTATATGCATCTGGGAACCAACTGACCGCGATACCTTCTGGATTTTTTTCAGGCTTAAACAGCCTGCAGAGACTGGATTTGTCGTCCAACAAGTTGACCAGCCTGCCTGCTGGACTATTTGCTAACCTCATCATCTTGGACTCGCTTTCTTTGGCCTCCAACCAGCTCGCTAGTTTTTCTGCCGGTTTCTTTTCTACGTTGAACAGCCTCAAGACACTGGATCTCTCCTCCAATCAGTTGAAGGCCATACCTGCTGACATCTCGACCCTGACCACTCTCACTACTCTGAAGCTCTCGGGGAACCAGCTGACTACGATACCTACAGGGTTCTTTTCCAACATGATGAGCTTGACGAGCTTGGATCTATCTTCGAACGAGCTTACCAGCCTCCCTTCTGGCACGTTCACCAATCTCATGACTCTGACGTATCTCGACCTCTCTGCCAACAAGTTTTCAGAGCTATCTTATGGATTTCTCAGCCAGCTGACAGGATTGGGGACTTTGAAGCTAGCCTCCCTTCAGCTCACTACTGTTCCCGTTGAGATCTTGAGCATGAAGCGCTTGGCGACCTTGGATCTTTCATCCAACAAGCTGGCAAGTATTCCAGCCAATTTCTTTTCAAGCCTTCAAACCCTCACGTTTCTCGATCTCTCCCGCAACTACTTGGTCAGTCTCCCCGTAGGAATTTCAAGTCTGAAAGGCTTGACGACGCTACATCTCTCTGGAAACCAGCTGGCAAGCATTCCTGATGGTGTCTTGAGCTTGACCAACCTAAAGAATCTGGATTTGTCTTCCAACAAATTGCAGAGCCTGCCTGCTGGAACCTTCACAAACCTCTCGAGCTTGGAAGATCTCAGCCTCTCTTCGAATCAGCTTGCGAGCCTTCCTCCTGGTTTCTTTGCTACTCTCAGAAGCCTCACGACTCTCGATCTCTCCAACAACAAGTTCACAAGCTTGCCTCCTGGCATTGAAAGCCTGACTAGTTTGAAGTATCTTTACCTGCAGAACAATTTGATTTCCAACATCTCTTCGGACGCTTTTGCCAACATGCCACAGCTTGTTCATGTGTCGCTCTTGAGCAACCCGATCCCATGCTACTACAACTCCTGGCCCTCCGGAGTCATACAAGTGGATCAAGGAATTAAGAACTGCAACGCGACTGCAACACCGCATAACGGCTTCGGAGGCACGGCCTTGTATGGGGTGGTGGGAGCGGCAGCTGGGCTCGTGGTGGTAGCAGTCGTTCTGATAGCTCTGAGAAGGAGCCAGCAAAAGGCACAGGCGGGAAAAGCCTCGCCCAAGAGCCAACCCGGTATGACGCGCGGCGACTCCTCGTGCAAGCCTGAAGGTCGAGCCGATGCGCATGAGATTGGACGAGGGGTTGAAGACCTTTCAGCTACCCACCAGGACGAGGGAGGCGAACTTGAAGCAGGCTGTGGAATGTCTGCTGAGCTCGAGGATGAGAATGAGGAGGAGGATGAGAGCGGAGAAGGCTCCTTCTCTGAGGAAGACGGCGAGGGGCAAAGGACGCCCAACGCTGTCGGACGGTACAAGCGAAAGAAGGGCTTGAGGCGTGAGCTAGTTCCTTGGCCTAAGTTGAAGCCTTCCAGCCATGACCATACCCTGACGCTTGACGAGGATGGCAATGAGCCCGAGGTAGTCGCTGGGGATGGAATGTTCTCAAAGATATTGGGAACATGGTTGAAACGAGAGCATAAAGCCCCTGCAAGGAGAAGGTGAGCATCTCAGTCCTCTCGCCATCGCTGACGAGCAGCGAGACAGGTCGGAGCAGTTCGTATCCATTCAGATGGAGTTGGGGATCATCTCGTCGTGCGTGCAAGACTCGCACTCCAAGTTTCAGCCCCTTGAGGTCGTGCGGGAGGTTCGCTTCGAAAGCGACAGCGGCTCTCACTCTCCCACCTATCCCGACCTGCGAGAGAGCGACAGCAGCCTGGAGCCGTTGGCTGAGCCAGAGACACCTCATGTGCGGGCAACGCCAGGCCCCATGTGAACCTCATGGTACCCGCGCTACCAGCGAACCGTGATGAGCAGACTTGAAGTCCCGTCTGAGGCTCAAGACAGCAGCCACGGGCAGTGTGTCTTCGGCTCAACCTGCCATTGCGACAACTTTGAACGCCTCTACGTCAGTTGGCACCACAGTGCCACAAGGTGTCAGTCATCTTGTACTAGATTGTATGCAGTGTATTCCAGCCACAGCTCATCCCTGCAAGTTGCAAGGGAGGGCGAGGGCAAAGCGGCATTTGCCGCCATGTATCAGTAATCGAGCCTGTCCTTTGCTACGAGTGAGAGTAAAGGAAAGCAACATTGCTTGGGGTTGAGATGAGGACCGTTGAGCAGCTTGTCTTGGATGAAGGTAACATGTCTCTTTATCAACTCCTTGTGATCTTAGTTGTTGCTTGCTTACCAGTTGTCTCCTGTTGTCCCCACCCCACCCTGAAGTTAAAAAGCAAGGATAGGTTTGAGGGTAGGGTAGTCCTAACTAAAAGCGGCAATGACCTGCGACATTTGCGATGAAAAGAACACGAACGAAACCGGTAGAAGAAGAAGAGATGAAAGATGTGTAGAAGAAGAAGAGATGAAAGACGTGTAGAAGAAGAAGAGATGAAAGATGTGTAGAAGAAGAAGAGATGAAAGATGTGTGGAAGAAGAAGAGATCCTCCCCTCCACCTTCACTTTCACTATTCTCTTCGCATCTTCATCTCAATTCTCTGTTTCGGCCAAACACGAGCAGGGCTCAATCTTGTTATCCCGTCTTTCAAGTCTTGTTTCATCTACTCGTGGTACCTCCGCACTTGTCTTGCTACTCTTCACTGTTCGTTGTTATGAGCTTGCTTGTCTCGTCTCCCCTCGGCCACCCATCTCTTTCCTTCCAACCAGCAGGGGCAAGGCCAGCGCTGTCTAACAAGGTGGCTTAGATGTTTGCCTCGCTGGCTACGTTGGTCGAACATTCGGATTCTATCAGGCATACCGCAGGCCGATATCACACAGTGAGGAAGAGCTTTGCAAGAGACCTCGAGTGATGATGGTGGCAGATTGTGGACCCGGCCTGGGTCACTAATGAGTCATCGCAGAAGCTATGGTTGCTTCCCAAGAAGCAGTACGAGGATGTTCTTGGAGCCGTGAACGGTGCCTACAGAGGCAGGAAGGTTGCTGACGGTGATACACTCCTCAGGATTTTGAACTGGTAGACATGTAATATGCTTTTGTAATCACTCTTGTCTCGACTTTTTTGAAACCTTTTGTTTGTTTTGTAAAGATAGAAGAACCACAAGTTCTAAGTTACCGTCATTGTCAAGAACTCGCCGCTCTTCCAATTCCTGCAAACATAATCAGGCTGAAAGCTTTCGAGACGGGAAAGGAAAGACTGACAGATTATCAACAAGCAGAAGGTTCTTGTCTTCCAGAACCTGTCCCGTGCTGTCCCGTATCAAGCTCTACAGCAATATTCAGCGATTCTTTCAGTGAAAAAGCCTCCTCGTCCTCGTCCTCGTCCTCCTCGTCCTCCTGTTACTTCCTCCTAATCCTAATTCACACCTGAGCATGAATGGGAATCTGAGTTTGCTTTTGAAGTGCTTCTTGTAGATCTCCGACAGTAGCATTTCGGCTGATGACGATGCTGACATTGCAAGGTTAAGACCTCATCTCAGTAAAGAGACTCCTCCCACCGAATTTTCCTTGCAATTTCATGGGGTGGGTGCGTTTCAGGTGGATAGTAGGCGTAACTGCGACTGTCAGCTCAGCTGAGAAACAAGTCATGCACGCAACACTAACTGTTCTTTGTTGCTTGTTTTGAAGTCACGGTTGTCGGGAACAAGTCGGTATTCCGAAGGAGAGAAGGAAACTTCTTCTCGTGACGGTCCTGTCGCTCTTGGAATGTCATACGGCTGGTACATCTCCTGGTTCGTTGTCCGTCCTGTGAACCTTTCCAGCGGGTCAGCTGAGTGAAAAAGCTTGCTGAAGGTGAGCAACATCGAGCAAGGATGAGAAAGCTTGTAGGGTGCGCAAACAAACAGAAGGCAGGCAGAGGTAGGCAGAGACTTACGGGATAGAAGGTGAGATGGGCTGGATGTCATAGCCGCCAGGGTTTCTCTGACAATCCTGGAAGTATGCAGATCTCTGTGAAGGCAACTCACTGAGTCTTTCTTCTCTCGCACCGAAAAAGTTTCTGACCGGCGGCGCTTTATACTGCTCGTGCGTGCTGCTGGACCCTTGGAAAGGGATCTTGGGAGGGGAGGGGTAGGAGCTCGGGGATCTAGAGCTCCTTGCCTCCTCCTCCCCCCCCTGCTGCGATGGATGGCAGACGAAAGTCTCCTTGTAGTGAGATTGCCCTTCGAATGGCAGCTCTGAACGTCAAAATCAACCCCAGCGCGCGGACAGGAGGAGGAGGCTACTTCGAGTAGGAGTGTGTAGGTAGTTGGGAGAGGACGTGGGCGCGGGAGAACCGTACGCTTCCTGAGGAGGAGCGGCGAAAGTGCTCTTGCTGTGACTCTCGCCGACGAAAGGGATCGACTGGAGTCAAGGCCTCGTCAGCTGGGAGCGAGCTATGAGTTGCACAGCTCGCCTGACTGGGCCTGACCTCGCTAATGCTCGGGCCCGGGGGGACTCCAGCGGACTTGAACTGTAACAAGGCGTTAGGAGAGCAGAGAGCGTGCGGTTGAAGGACAACAAAGTCTATGGAAGGCGACTGGAACGCTTCCTTGTAGTGGCTCTGTCCCTCTAGCGGCAGCTGCAGGTAAACCTGTCTCGGCCAATCGTTATTCCAACTATGTAGTGTAGGGCAGCAGCCAAACCTCCACATTGTACTTAGTGCATCCTTGTCTGCGAGGATTCTTGGCTGCGTTCTCCATGGCCTGAGATACAAGTCTCAATCATACCATGCTCGCATTCAAGAACTCAAAATCACCTCTTCAAAGCTCATCACTCGACGAGGTTGAACCGAAGATGGTGTAGACATCCTGTTGTTGGCCGTGAGTAGGGTGATCAAGGTGAGACAACAGCACATCACTACGCAAACTATTCATATCTGTAGCACTCCATGCACTCACGCCCACTCCTAGAAGGATGAAAAGTTTGCTTGCATGCGAGCGACTGAATATGACCATGATTTCCTCACCCACGAAACTTCTCCGTGTCTATGTGTACCAGCTGATCTCTTCGAAACTCGGTTCTACATTCAGATCCTCATTCGGATCGTTTCCTCCTCTTCCTTCACTTCCGCTCTTCGCCTTTCTTTTCTCCTTCCCCTCGCTTCCATGCTCACTGGACGGTTACAGAAATCCTTCCAACCAGTGATATCACTAATAACTCCTTGGCAGTGCGGCCGGGCCCGGCCGGCCCGGCCGGGCCCGTAAGACCGACGATTTTAAATTTGCCAACGGTTGTTTTTTCGTCCCAGTCCCGGCTCTACCTGGGCTACCAAATCATAGTATAATCCGGGTCCCTTTTTGGGTGACCCCTGGGCATGTCGGAGGTCGATGGTGGACAGCACCCTCAAATTTCCTAATAGCCGAGTGGGGGAAATGCAGCCCTACCCCCCATACCATATTGCTCGTACTCTGGTAGTACCCCCACCCCTATCTCCCAGCCCTTTTCACAAGTGTCCACCCCTCTACCGCAGCACGCCTTTTTAAATTTTTCCTGCTTCCTTGCACGTTGATTCTCCCCCCTCCCTCTCTTCCCTCCCCCTTCCTCCTTCCCGCACTAATTTCTCTGACCCAGCTCCTGCTCACTGGGTCCTGTCCTCACTCGAATTGACCTGCTTCGTCCCTGCAGAAGTTCAGTTGTAGTTGTAGCAAGCAGACAAGTTTACCATGGCGTTTGTTGAGAAGACCAACAAGCCCCTCAAGAAGGCTGCTTCCGCCAAGAGTGCGATGCCCGACTCAGATGATTTCTTCCAAGACAAAGAGAATGTCTCGACAACCTCAAAGAAGTCAAAGACCGTTGAAGAGACCTACCAGAAGCTCACACAGCTTGAACACGTCCTCCTTCGTCCTGACACCTACATCGGATCTACTGAGATGCACAGGACCAAGTTGTGGGTGTTCGATGAAGAGATCGGAATGAATCAGCGCGAGGTCACGTACGTTCCTGGCCTCTTCAAGATCTTTGATGAAATCCTGGTGAACGCTGCAGACAACAAGCAGAGGGATAAGACTATGGACACGCTCAAGGTTGTGATCGACCCGGAAGAGTCGAGCATCTCTGTCTACAACAACGGCTGTGGCATCCCTGTGGAGATGCATAAGGAGGAGAACTGCTGGGTACCAGAGCTCATCTTCGGCCACCTCCTCACGAGCAGCAACTACAACGACAAGGAGAAGAAGACCACAGGAGGAAGGAACGGTTACGGAGCAAAGTTGGCCAATATCTTCAGCACTGAGTTCACAGTTGAGACTGCCGATGGATCCAGGTCGGGGAGAAAGTACAAGCAGACATGGACGGACAACATGCAGAACAAGACCAAGGCAACAGTGAAAGAGTGCAAGGAGAGCGACAACTGGACTTGCATCACCTTCAAGCCTGACCTCTCCAAGTTCGGAATGGTGCACCTTGATGTGGACACGGTTGCTCTCATGAAGAAGCGCGTGTACGACATGGCTGGAACCATCCCCGGCGTCAAGGTCTTCCTCAAGGACCAGCGCATCAAGATCAAGACCTTCGAAGACTACTGCAAGCTCTACCTCTCCTCCTCGTCGGTGCTCCTCGAGGGCGAGGCCAAGTACGTCCACTACAAGCCCAACGACAGGTGGGAGATGGTGATAGCAGCGAGCGACGGGCAGTTCCAGCAAGTGTCCTTCGTCAACAACATCGCTACCACACGAGGAGGTTCGCATGTGAACCATGTGGCCGACCAGCTGGTCCAGGTGAGCCTCGGGCCGCTTCAGACTTCCACTCGACTTCCTTCTTTTTCCCCTTTTCTCCTTCTCCTCTCCAACTTCTTTTCTTCCCTGCCCCTTCTATCCTTCTTTCTCCCGCCTCCTCTCCCTCCTCTCGCTGCCGTCAACCTGACTGTCTCGCCTCCTGCAGATGTTCTCGGACCACCTGGGCAAGAAGCACAAGGGGCTGAAGCTGAAGCCCTTCCAGATCAAGGGCCACATGTGGATCTTCCTCAACTCTCTCATCGAGAACCCGGCCTTTGACTCGCAGACCAAGGAGACGCTGACGCTGAAGCCCTCGGCCTTCGGGTCCAAGGCTGAGTTCGACGACAAGTTCTTCAAGAAGATGCTCAACGGGACCAAAATCATCGACGGCATCCTGAGCTTCGGGCAGGAGAAGCAGGAGAAGGATATGAAGAAGACGGACGGGAAGAAGACTGGAAGGATCGTGGGCATCCCGAAGCTCGAGGATGCCAACGACGCCGGGACGAAGCACGCGGCCGACTGCACGCTCATCCTTACGGAGGGAGACTCCGCCAAGGCCCTGGCGGTCAGCGGGCTGGCAGTGGTGGGGAGGAACAGGTACGGCGTGTTCCCCCTGCGAGGAAAGGTGGCGAACCCCAGGGATGCGAACCACGAGCAGATCATGAAGAACGAGGAGATCAAGAACCTGAAGACGATCCTCGGGCTCCAGCAGGGCAACAAGTACGAGAACGGCCCGCAGGGGCTGCGCTACGGGCACGTGATGATCATGGCGGATCAGGACCCTGACGGTTCGCACATCAAGGGGTTGCTGATCAACCTGTTCCACTACTACTGGCCGAACCTGCTGCGACACCCTGGGTTCCTGCAAGAGTTTGCGACGCCGATCGTGAAGGCGAAGAAGAAGGGAGGGGGGAAGAACGAGATCGCCTTCTTCACCCTCCAGGAGTACGAGGAGTGGAGGGAGCAGGTCGGGGACGGCTTGGGCGGCTGGACGATCAAGTACTACAAGGGTCTAGGTACCTCCTCCTCCCAGGAAGCCAAGGAGTACTTCTCCAATCTGCCGCTCCATCAGATGGACTTCGCGTGGGAGGGAGCGGAAGATGGAGAGATTATCGACATGGTGTTCAGCAAGAAGCGAGCTGACGACCGTAAGCAGTGGCTGCTGAGGTACGAGGAGGACCTGTTTGTGGACCACAACGGGTCGGAGGTGACCTACTCGGACTTCATCAACAAGGAGCTCATTCACTTCTCCATGATGGACAACATGCGCTCCATCCCCTCGCTCGTGGACGGCTGGAAGCCTGGGCAGAGGAAGATCCTCTACGCCTGCTTCAAGAGGAAGCTCAAGGCCGAGATCAAGGTCGCGCAGCTGGCCGGCTACGTGGCCGAGCACAGCGCATACCATCACGGGGAGCAGTCGCTGGCGATGGCGATAGTGGGAATGGCGCAGAACTTTGTGGGTAGCAACAACGTCAACGTCCTCGTCCCCTCCGGTCAGTTTGGCACGAGGCTGCAGGGTGGGGCGGACGCTGCAAGCCCTCGCTACATCTTCACGTACCTGCACCCCATCACCCGCTTCCTCTTCCACGAGGCCGACGACGCCATCCTCAAGTACCTCAACGATGACGGGCAGAGCATCGAGCCGCAGTTCTACGTGCCCATCCTGCCCACCGTCCTCGTCAACGGGGCCCACGGGATCGGGACGGGGTGGAGCACGGACGTGCCCTGCTACAACCCGAGGGACGTGGTGAGCAACCTGAAGCGGCTGCTGCGGCAGGAGGTCATGGAGCCGATGCACCCGTGGTTCCGCGGCTTCCAGGGGAGCGTCGAGCTGAACGTGAGCAAGAAGGGGGAGGTGTCGTACACGCTAGTGGGGAAGTGGGAGAAGGTGGACGAGACAACCCTGGTGATCAACGAGCTGCCGGTCGGCAAGTGGACGCAGCAGTACAAGGAGTTCCTGGAGACGCTGATGGACACCGAGGGGGGTAAGAAGGAGCCCTTCATCAAGGGGTACCGGGAGTACCACACGGACACGACGGTCTACTTTGAGGTGTCGATGACAGAGAAGAGGATGGAGGAGGCCGAGGAGGTGGGGATAGCGAAGAAGTTCCAGCTGAGCAGGAGCCTCGCCATCTCCAACATGCACTTGTTCAACGCCGACGGGCAGATCCAGCGCTACGACTCGCCCGAGCAGATCATGAGGGAGTTCTACGGGGTCAGGATGGAGCACTACAGGCAGAGGAAGGAGCAACTGGAGGGCGAGCTGGGCAAGCAGCTCAAGGTGCTGGACAACAAGTGCCGGTTCATCAAGGAGGTCATCGCCGGGACCCTCAAGGTTAACAACAGGAAGAAGACGGAGATCGTGCAGGACCTGTCCGCGCGGGGGTACATGCCTCTCTATAAGGAGGGGAAGAAGAAGGCTGCTGAGGGGGAGGAGCAGGAGGGGGAGGCGCAGGAGCAGGAGCAGCAAGAGGGCAAGGGGAGCAGCGGAGGATACGACTACCTGCTCAATATGCCCATCCTGAGCCTGACGCTAGAGCGGGTGAAGCACCTGCAGGAGGAGCGGGACGGGAAGGCCAACGAGTTGGAGGAGCTGAACAAGCTGACGCCCGCGGACCTCTGGGAGCGAGACCTCGACTCGTTCCTGGAGGAGTACGAGAGGATTGAGCAGGAGGAAGAGAAGAAGATGAAGGAGAAGGGGCCCAAGGTGAAGGCGAGCCAGGGCAGCAAGAAGGTCCTCAAGAAGAAGGCGGCCAAGAAGAGGAGGAAGTCTTGGGGCGGCGACAGCATGAGCGAGGACGACAGCGACGTCTCCCTTGACGACGATAGCGACGAGGAGTTCGCTGCTGCCTCCAAACCCAAGAAGCCCCAGGCCAAGCCTGCGGCCTCCTCTGCCCCTGCTCCCAAGGCTCCTGCTCCAGCCTCCTCCGCCTCCCTCCCGGCCTTCAAGGCTGCCGCCTCCAAGCCGCAGCTGAAGCGCGCAGGGTCAGAGGAGGAGAAGCCGCGGCAGATGAAGAAGCAGGACCTCAAGGACACGCCCGACAAGTCGGCCATGCTGGCCCAGAGGCCCAAGGTCCTGGACGAGGACGAGGACGAAGATGTTCCTGCCCTCTCCCTCATGGAGCGACTGGCTGCCAAGATGACGGACAAGAAGGTCGCAGCCCCTGCAGCGAAGCCTGTGAAGAAGGTCAGGAGGAGGAGGAGGAGGAGGAGGAGCCAGATCTGACGTGCCCCTGCAGCAGGTCAAGAAGGTCGAGACAAGCGAGGAGGAGAGCGAGGCAGAGAGCGAGGAGGAGGTCCAGAAGAAGCCCAGTAGAGGGCCTGTCAAGAGCTATAAGGACGAGAGTGATGAGGAAAGCGACTTCGACCCGAAGGTTGCGGCGCGTCCGACCCAGAAGAAAGCTCCAGCCAAGAGCAGCAAGAAAGCCAAGGACGATGAGGACTTTGAGATCTCGGACAGCGATGACGAGGTCTGATCCTTCTCCTCCTCTTCCTCCTCCTCCTCCTCCTCCTCGTTTGTTGTCTCCTGTTCTCCTGCCTTTCATTCTCAGTCCCCTCCTTCACCTGTCGTTCTCTGTCTCACTTCCCTCCTTCTGACTGCTTGCTTAGCCAAAGCCGAAGAAGAAGCCAGCGAAGAAGGCTGAGGCGGCAAAGCCCAAGGAGGTCAAGCAGAAGGAGACCATGAAGGAGGAGGTGAAGCAGAAAGAGGTCAAGCAGAAAGAGGTCAAGCAGAAAGCTCCTCCTAAGGCTCGCAAGGCCAAGGACGAGGACAGCGACGATGAGTTCTTTGATGAGGAGATCACCAAGGTCTCTGCTCCTTCCCGCGCTGGGGATCGCGCGCCCCGTAGGGCAGCGGCGGCAGCCAAGACGTACGTGATTGACTCGGAGGACTCCGAAGTAGACATGTTTGATGACAGTGACTGAAGAAGGACCAGAGCAAGCGAGTAGAATAACTTATACACTTTACTGACTAATGAAACAAACTGTTTGAAATCAGTCTGAGGGAATTCTTTCACGTACACCGCTTGTTTGCTGTTTCGTCCTTCTCCGATCTCACTTCCATCGCACTCGCTTTCATTCTTCTCTCCTGTCTGTTTCTCAAATGTCGTCTGCCAGGTCGCGATTGTTTGTTTCGGGGAGGCGAAAACTGAACAATCCCTGATACCACGAACATGAGAGAGGAAGAAGACGGGAGGTGAGGAGAAAATAGTGTGATGCAGAGAACCGAGGGAAACAAGCATGGAGGGACCGAAGGAGAGGAGTAGTGTAGGACGTCGAGACAGGGAGAAACTGAGGAGAAGAGGAGAAGAGAAGAAGAGGAGAAGAGGAGAAGAGGAGATTGAGGTAGGGGCAGGAAAGACAGTAAGGTAGGCTTCAGATCAGTACAAGGCCACGAGTATCCCACCGCTACGATGGAGATGATCCCAAAGATCCACATGGGAAGGCTCGGTGATGCCTGCGAGCATTTCAGCGACTTGCAGTTGTCGCATGTCAGTCGTTACTGTGCTCAACAAGACTACGAGGGGAGCGGAAATGCCGCCAACCCGCGCGCTGAGGGAGCTGATGCCCATGGCCTGGCGACTCGTCAAGGTAGAGGAGGCAGAGGCAAAGAAGACGATGGGGATAGGGAGGAGTAGGTGGGTGAGAGGAAGGGGAGGCGGAGGGAGGAGGACGAGGGGAGGGGAGGGGAGGGGAGCGGGAGGAGGGGAGGGGAGAAGGAGAGGGAGGAGGAGAGGGATATTCAGAACAAGCACAAGGCACCTGAGTTCGCACACTGGTAGGAAACACTTCTGATGCATAGACAAAGACAGCTGAGAAGGTGATGCACAGCTGGGAAAGAGTTCAGCTATCTCCTGCCTCGCCGCCGCAAGTCTTATCTCCCACCATGAACTTCCCACAGAACGCCAAGATCGACTTGATGTACACGTCGTTGCACTCTCCGGCGGCACAGTTGTTGTCTTCGGGCACAGCGTTGCACAGCACGCATGAGAAGCCTCCGATTAGCAGCGTAATGGCCAGAGAGCGAGATCGTCCTATCCTGCGTTGAGGCCTCAGCAACAACAACAGCACGGGAACAACATGGCTACCTATCAAACATCACGATCGACAGAGCAAGAGCTGGGATATCCACCGCCATATTTACACACCTGCTACTGCGTTACTAGACAGAGATGAAGTCTCATGCTGTACATGTTCAAATAAAAATCTCCAGCAAGGCTCCCGGTGTTGAGAGCAAGACCGTAGTAAGTGAAGCTGGCTGTAAACCAGCACAGAAGCATGATCAAAGTTATCTGCCAGATGGGAACAGACAGAATTTCGTTTCTCGAGAAGAGCAGTCCAAACCCTCCTTCTTGCTTGTGAGGATGAACCTTCTTCAACATCTGCCCGTCGTCGTTCTCCTCCTCACCAACCTGAAACTCCCCAGGATCCTCCAGTTCGAGTTCAGAAGGGATCCCCTTGATCTCGTTCATCCCCTTGAGCCTTCGACTCAACGTCACCAGAGGCTCTTGACAGCAGACAAGTGCTGGTGCAGTCACCTTCCTCGCGGCAAGCTCCTCTTGTTTGTTTGTGCGGCCTTGTGCAGCACATTGTAGGCTTCGTCAGCCCTCCCCATCATCAGCAGCCAGCGCCTTGAACGAAATCACACACGGGGGTGAGCAAATATGAGATGCACTTACGGTGATTCTGGCAGGTAGACAGTCACGACGATTTGTATCACGACGAGAATGAAAGAAATCGAAGAGACGGCGCGCCATTCCGCCAGAGAAAGAGAATCATTGTGAAGATAAATCTGTTGAATTCGCTCATTGTCACGTAGCTCGCTTATGTCAGAGCCAGAGTACTTGTTTACCTGATGTATGAACGATGCGAGCAGACCAACCACAAGGCCGCCAAACGACCATAGTCCATTCATCCCAAATCCTCCCATCCATCCTCGATGCTTGTTCCCAACAAACTCCATCATCAACACGAAGTTCACAACTATCCCAGCCCCACACCCAGCTCCGGCAATCAGCCGGAACAAGGCATAGAGATAGTAGTTTGAGGCGATGAATCCCCCGGACCCGACAAGCTGCAGGCCGTTCACCACGAAGATTCCCTTCCTCCTACCAATCTTGTCCGAAAGAATCCCCCCGAAGAATGACCCGAACCCAAACCCTGAGAAGAACACCGAGCCCAGCGAACCTCGCAGCACTTCGCGACCACAAACCAGACTGAAAGACGCGGAAACAGACCCGTAGTCTGCAAAGTCTCCTATAAATTCTCCACCGACTGGATCACATACTGTACAGTTGGGTGCTGTAGGGAAACACCTTATCTCTGCTGCTCTCTCTACCACGATCTGCTGTAAATTCAGCGCTCCGTTTACGAAGAAGGTGAATCCAAGGATAGCAAACAACCATTGCTGGTACCGTCCGAAGCCACCAATTGTCTCTATAACATCATCTACCGTGAACACTTCATCGAACAACTCCGCCTCCAGCTCTTCGGTTGAGTTGCTCGGAGACCCGTCCGTCGCCATGGTGTTCGACCCCTGCATGCTCAAGTGACCGAGCTTGAGGTGCTCATCACCTTGGACCAGGATACGAGCTGTGTCGCCATCACTTTCATGAGCTGTGAATGAATCGTCTCCACTCTGCACAATCGGGTCTGCGGGGAGGAGTCCTGGAGCAACCAGGGGATCGCTGACTTCACGCGAGTGCAAAGAGGTGTTCAGGGGATCGGCAGCAGCGTTTCCTTGGATCAGCGGATCATCTCGTCCTTTCACTGCCAAGATTCCATCGCCTTCTCCTCTCCTCTCCTCCTCTCTTCCCTCCCCTCCCGCCATCATTCCTCCTCCCTGCACCCCGCCTTGCATAGCGCTTCTCCTGTCAGGGAAGTAGGGGTACATCTTAGTCTTCCTGATCAGGGTGGGGGTCACGCAACACAATGAAAAAGGGGGTTGCTTAGATGGGGGTAGGGGTACTGCTATGGCCCATTAAAATAGGTGGTGGGGTGGTAGAGTACAGATCGGGTGACCAGGGTACTTTTTGTTAACAAAGAGGGGGTAAAGAACAAGGTAAAGTAGAGTACGGGTCATTTAGCCATAGCATTATGGGGTGGTATTGGGTCCCATTTAGTGTAGAGGTTTGTGGCATGAATCCAGGGGTAGGGGTGGTGGAATAATTCACCGTTACAATTGTAACTGTTCCTAGCTGCATCTCATTATACAACAATTCCCCAAGATATTGAAGAATTATATGTTTTTGTGTAGTAATTATATATATTTGCAATAATCATTATGATTTTAGTGTATAATCTTGGAGGTACAAACGGATTCCCCAGGTTTGTGGGAAACCTTGAGTTCATGGCTGGACTATCACAAGAGAGCGGGGAAGGCGGGGAGAGCTGGAGAGAGATGCCGAAGAGCATGCAGCACGGAGGTCGGATCTATCATCAGAACAATGCCGAGAAGCACCTTGAACGTAGGCAAGCTTTTCATCATGCTGTTGCCCCAGCAGAGAGCAGGAAGCTCAGCAAGTTGGAAGAAGAAGAGATCAGGGAGACGTGGAGGAAACTTGAGTACGATCACAACATGGAGCATCAAGACAAGAACCTTAGCTCGAGGAAGACCAGAGAAGCATCTGGGCTGACCGAGAGGATGATCAGAAGGATGTACACTGAGGTCCTCCCACGGGACAAGACTCCTCACGTCGAGAATCTGAAATCAAACGACGATGTGGGAAAGTATGGCATCTGCATTGTACACGACGGCGACGTCGAAAACTTTCAAGTCACATGCAGCACACGCTTCAGAGGAAGAGGCTGCATTTCGCATCTGCTCTGGACTGAGGAGGGTTCCCACTCACTGTCAAGGTATGGTGAGCTTGGCGAATACATCATGGCGTTTGCGAGCGAGATTTTGGCTGACAGCACAGAGATTGAGACCACACTGGCGTTTGGTTGCAGAAAGATCGTTGCACTTGGTTGCACCAACCAATCCAAAACCCTCCGACTGCACAATGGTGAATGGATTGCAGACTTTGTGTACCTGAAGGGATTCCTCGAGGTCAGGAGGGTGACAATGACAATCAATTTTCATGTTGTGTGTGAGATGACAGAATACAAGCTTTTGGACGAACACACCATGAAGCTCTTGGACAAACTCACCATCGTCTCCACCAGAGTTCTCCCGAGCGCCGACAATGCCCTCTCGCACCTTGTGAACCCGTCGTTAGTGGAGGCGATCAAGAGCCAGCGGGTCATTCAGTCGCATCTTGTTGTTGGCTTGCCATACGACATTGCCTTGTACTCAGATCTACCAGCCTGCTCCTGCCTCTCCTCGTGCTCTCGCTCGTCGTCGTCGTCGTCGTCGTCGTCGTCATCATCATCATCATCGTTATCGTTGTCTTCCATCTCCTCGCCATCGCAGACAGCAATGACTCTCATAGGCAACAAGACAAACAGCCGCAGAGAGAAAGCGGGAGGCAGTTTCATGGCAAGCGCAGCAGAGAGCAGTATTGCTGCCTTTGTCGGGCTCAACACAAACTCAAAGTACTCCAGTTCGAGCTATGAATGTGATCAGATGCACGAGGCTTACTTGAGGAACCTGAACAAGGATACCTTATCGTGTGTTGTTTGCGACGAAGGCATGATGAAAGCTTGCGTGTTTATTGGAGATTCTGTCGACTTTGCTGTCATCTCCAGTTTGACTTCCATGCGTGAGGAAGAGGATGAAGTCATTGTCGTGAATTGAGGGACAAAAGTGTGTGTGTGTGTGTGTTTGTTTGTGTATGTTGTGGTGGCTGGCGAGCTTCTGCTCTTGATTCATCTCAAATCCGAGCTTATCTTTGCCATGTATTTCATGCTTCTGTAGCTGTATTATAAATCGAGTTGTTTTACTATAAAATCAAAAGCCAAACGAACCCTTTCCTTCCCACCCCTTAGTGCACCCTTTCTTGAACTTGATTCGACTGGATGAGAGCATTTGAAAGCCTTCCTTTGCTTATTTACATACCGGATTTTCGACCGCTCAAGCACTCTATCATATCATCATCAAAGAAAATCAAGTACCATTTTTGATCTGATTTACATAGTTTTGATAATCTTTTCAGTTCATAAAAAAAATGCTTGATTCGGACGTGGCTTCCCTCAACAATCTCATCGATTCTTCTTTCGATTTCACGTTCTGGCATAAAACAAAATCAATCACACAAAGATGAACAAGGGAGCATCATACATTCATCGTTGGGGCAGGCAAGTTTGAGGGGTCGATTGCACCTGACCCACCAACACATCAGAAGGAAATCGATGATAAGACGATCTTACGGAGAAGATAACGCGAAAGATCCTCTCCGTGCTCTAGAGGCCAGGGAACTTTCTCTACCATCGTCCTGTTAGAATCATTCGATCATTGACCAGATTGTCATCACAGGCAAGGCTTGCAAACCTGTATTTCTTGCATCTCATCTCGTAATCCATTCCCTTTGCAGGCAGAGGCATCTGCCGCTATCTAACTCTTGTGCTTCTTCAAAACACCTACCATTGTCTTACCTGAAACACGTCGATCATCAAGTCCGAGATCTGCAAAGAAGATACTCAAACCCCTGAACCCTCCCTTTCCAGAAAACCAGCATCTCCAACCTGATCTACGATTTCACGATTCGCGGCATCGTCGGAGTTTGAGGCCATAGGAACAGGAAGCTGTACAAGGACGCGTCAGAGGACATCTCTTTTATCTGAGACGGGGCGACCGATTCTGTCTTGGAGCTATGGCCTGTGCTGTCCACATCGCCGCCCGTTGCAGAGGAGATGTTTCCTTGCATCGAGCTCAACAAGGTTTGAGGCACTTGCAGGAAGGAGTAGATCATGTTCAACTGGACCCAAGTCAGTATAGCTGCTCCCTGTCCAAGGGAGAGGCAAACTTGAGCTGGTTCTACTTCCTTCAGGAGCACCTCCAGGTACTTGTCTAGTCCCTCCTGCCTCCGCTTAATAACCTGCGGCTCTTTCATCTCGAGACCACCTCACTCACTGCTCACCGCTCCAGAGAGTTTGCCGAACAGTTGTTTCGGTGGCAGATTAGCTGTCACCTGGCGCATGTCATCTAACGCATAGTTGCCTTGTCTACTTCATGCAATACCGTCTGCTTGTTCTTCAGCGCAAGATGAAGCTTTACGAAATCTGAAAATCCTGCAGGTTGTGAAATTGATCAATTCATCATTGAATGAGAAGAAGAATCGACATAGACCCACGTTTGCGCACTTCCCAACGAACGACTCCAGCGGAGCATGAGACTGCCATGGGCTTAGCTCGCAGAGACGGCACAAAACCTCTCTCCTCCCTTCGAACACCTGAATCTGACAGTTTCACTTCTGTTCTACATCTACATCTTCTATCACTGTACAGCCCTATGAAATCTGAATCACAGCAGTCCCTTATCATCTCTGCATGTTGTTTAAGTACGGGTATTCTGAAGTTGTATCATATCGGTGCAGTTCATCTGTATTTGAATATCTGTTCCTCGACCCTCCCATCTCGCTGCCACCTTGTTCCCCTCTAACATTGGTTTCTCTCGCCAACTCCTCTTAAGCTCTGACTGATCCGATCAACCTTGATCTCCTGATGACTCCAACTTTCCTTTCGCCCTTGATTATATGCATGATACTCCTCGTCTTCCGCCTCCTGATACTCCTCCTAATACTCCTCCTCCTCCTCCTCCTCCTCCTCCTCCTCCTCCTCCTCCTCCTCATCATCATCTTGGTGATAGCGATGGCGACGATCTATCTTGTTCTTGTTTTCCTCACCTTCATAGACTGTGTGACTTCTCCCGACATTCTCTGACCCCTTGATCTTCGCCGCCAGCCCATGCATGTCCATATCCTATGAATCCGAGGCGGGCATGGATCGCTGAAGTTTGAAAGTTTTGAACTTTGAGTTGCTCCAAACATGAAACTTTAGCCTATAAGAAGTTTCAATTTCCTTTGTTGGCAACCCCTCACCCTCAATGTACATCACCCACCCCCAGCAACCTTTCTGCTTCCTTCTCCCTGAAGACTTACATGGGTACCCCACCCCTTCACTTAGCATTCCACGATCTAGAAAATACACCATACCCCTTTAGTGACTTTCACATACCGGTGAGATCTCATCCCCACCCCTACCCTACGTTATCCTACCCTACCCCCGAATTCCTAATCTTCGATTCTGTCCTTCCCGCCAAGCCCGTGCCAACAAGAGCGGCATTCTTACCTTTCATTGGCTCCGTCCTCCTCCTCTCCTCCCTCCTCTCCCCCTTCTCAGAGCTCTGATCTTCAGTGCCATCATCGTCTTCTTCTTCATATGTAACTTGTCTGCAAGGAAGAGCATGTTCGAACCGCGATTGCCGAATGCGCTGTTTGCAGGATGGGATTACAGTCGATCCTTTGGATGGCTGTCTTGTGCTCATCTTTCCCATTTGCATCTTGTTGTAGCAACATGGTCTTACTAAATTCTGAACACCTGCATGCTGCTTGCTGCCCGTCATTCTCCTTGTTTGTTTCCATTCGTCCACCCATGGCTTCAAATTTCATTCTTACTGTTTGATTTTCTTGATCGGCTAAGTCCAGATGCCAGGTTGCAGCAAACTCATGAAGTTATGAACGATCAAAGACAGCCGCTTACACCCGCTACGGTCTCCAAGGGCGACTCGAGGTCGAGAACTGAAACTGAGAGTAATGGGCCGAATGGATTCGTTTCTTTCCCCAAGTTCACCTTGACTCTTGACCAAAGCAATCAATCATGCACATCGTCTTGCAATGCTCCAACAACAGGTATACATGATTCATGCACTCTCCTTGTTTGTAATTCTACTTCTTGCCAGATGTGCTTTCGGTTGTGCCGGAAGATAAGAGGAAAGTGCTGGAAGCAAGGCTAACGAGCTCAGGCGCATCGAACGTGGTAGAAACTGTGAGTCTAGTTCACCTCCTCCTCGTCCTCGTCCTCGTCCTCGTCCTCGTCCTCCTCGTCCTCCTCCTCCTCCTTCTCCTCGTCCTCGTCCTCCTTCTCCTCGTCCTCGTCCTCGTCCTCCTCGTCCTCGTCCTCCTCCTGCAGAGATCCAAGAACTTCTTTGATGCCTTCTCATCTAGGTTGTTGGATTTGGAAATGATGGAAGCAAAGATGGAATATCTGGCCCAGCAGGATCCTTCACTTATGTCCCGGGTGCTCCGACGTCACCCGATCCCAACCGGGCATCTGTTCTTTCGCCAATTAACGTGAAGTCAGCGAAATCGGATAACTATGAGAACATGGAAGAAAAGAAGAATCCCACTAGTGAGACGAAGTCGGAGAGAAACTTGAATTTAGCTCCTTCACTCGATGAGAACACGGCTCATAGTGAGCACTTCAGTGCTGAGGAACTTGAAGATACCAGAGAGTCTTCAGAAGCATCCGGCGATAGCTGTGCATCTAAAGAGCTATTCAAGAGAAACATCTTTCCTAGCGACAAGTATCCGAATTCAGAAATCGACGATGGAGCAAGCAGAGGATCGGAAACAGGTCGAACCACGTCAGATTGCGATCGTCGCCAAAAACGAAGGCAAGATGATGTGAGGGGATCGAGAAGAGGATCGACGCCTGGCCGTCATGGAAGGGACGGCCACCTCAAACGACACAGGTCGCATAATCACGAACCAAGATCTCCTGAAGATCGTTTCGAGAAGAATTCTCGCACCATCACTCATTTTTTCGCACCAAAGTCGGACAATGGTAACTCTGCTTGGTGGTGGTTCCTTGTTTGATGTTGACATTCCAGGTCTATCGATCTGCAATCACTCCGACCATAGCCGTGATGGTGGCAATTCAGTGTCAGACATCAAATCAAATATTGCTCCCGACAACATCCTTAGCAGAGAAAAGGAACTGATGAATCTTGAAAGAGATCTCAAGAGACGGGAGTCAGCTATGGAGAGCAGGTTTAGAGAGCTAAAAGAAAGAGAACAAGAGCTAGAAAAACGCAAAGCAGCCATTTCTGAGGTTTGTGAAATAGGATTCAATTTGAAATTCATTGATCGATATGGTGTCGCAGCTGGAGGCTGAAGCAAGAGAAAGAGCAGCTGCGCAAGCGAGACAAGATATAGCAGATGCTGCAGCCCTGAGAAGGCAGCATGACCAACGGGTAAATCCAGCTTTGATGATATTTTTCAAATTCATTCAGCCTCTTCAGGTTCGAGAAGTAATGAAAGGACTTTTGATCAAAGCAGCACGTGAAGAGCGTGCTCTGACAGGGTCAAGACTGGCGACTGACACTGTTGGTGGTTCATATAGTATGACTTTCTTTGACTTGACAGCAGATGAGAGTGGGACGAGTTTCGTACATGCGGAGTGGCATGACAGTACAAGAGTATTGGGAGTACGGCAGCGCGTAAGATCCGTCCGTCCTTTTTTCTAGAGTGAACCTGAACTTCTATCTCACAGATGGGAAGAGCTTCAGCGCAATATCGAGGCTCTGAACCACGAAAAAGAATGTTTGGAAAAGGACAAGAAAGCGTTTCAGAAGCGATGTCGAAGCTCTGTAGTTATAAATCAATCAGCTGGACAAATGAATCCACCCCCAGTCCCTTCAGATGAGCAACAAGAACAAGAAGAGATTTTCAGATTGAGAGCCCAGAAGATCAAAGACAAGGAAAAAATGTTCTCGGAGGAAAAGGACAAGTTAGACAGGGAGAAAAACACACTCATTCGGGAAATCAAAAGATTTCAAGATCAGTGAGTCTAGATCTTCTTTCTTTCTCCCTCTCAATGATAACTCTTTCATAGGCAAAGATCTCGTTATAACGATTTCCCTCTACTCAACAATCGATATTTGCTCCTACAACTTTTAGGCATGATACATCTATGCCTGTTGTGATTGAGATAGTGACACAATCTTCAGGTAAAGGTGGCTTCTCTGAAGTTTACAAGGCCTTCGATTTGGTTGAAATGAGGGATGTCGCATGTAAAATCCACGAATTGAATCCTCAATGGAAGGAAGAGAAGCGAACGAATTACATGAAGCACGCTACAAGAGAATACGAGATTCAGAAAAAGTTGTGCCATCCAAGGATAGTTCGATTGATAGATGTCTTTGAAGTCTCTACCAATGGGTTCTGCACCGTGCTTGAGCATTGTGACGAAGGCGATCTAGAGCAGGTCTGTCTGTAGAGCGTTGCATCTGCTTGTGACGAGTACTTGATCAGGTGCTCAAGGAGAGAAAGACAATTTCAGAGCGCGAGGCTCGTTCCATCATCATGCAAGTGTTTGCAGGACTGAAATATCTCAATGAGCAGAAACAGAAGGTTGCGCCTCTTCTCCACTCCTTCTTGTCTTCCTCGCGTCCCTCTCCGTATACCTTGCTTTGTTTCACCCTATGCCAAGTCCTCTATCTCCTCCTTCCAGTCTCTCTCCTCTTGAGTTTCTCCCGCCAAACTCGCTGTTGAACTATCTCACAGGTCATTCATTTTGATCTAAAGCCTGGAAACATCCTCTTTCACAAAGGAGAGGTGAAAATCTCTGACTTCGGGCTATCCAAAGTCATGGAAGAGCACTCGGAAAACTCCAACGAGATCGAGCTGACCTCTCAAGGAGCTGGAACTTACTGGTATCTCCCTCCCGAATGCTTCGAGGTCTCCGCCATCTCCCTGCCGTGCCGCTCAATCTTAAACATGTGCGAGCAGGTTGGAACGTCTCCCCCCAAGATCTCGTCAAAGGTTGACGTGTGGTCGGCTGGAGTCATCTTCTACCAGATGCTCTACGGGACAAAACCCTTCGGGCATGGAATGTCCCAGGATCACATGCTGCGCGACCAGGTGAAGTCTTGCTGGGTGCGACAGGCCGGCCTGATTCGAGCATGGCAGACCATCACCAAGTCGACAAGCGTTTCCTTCCCTGAGGGCAAAGACGTGCCCAAGGTGTCGGACAAGGCCAAGGAATTCATCCGCAAGTGCCTCTCGTACAAGCAGCAGGATAGACCCAACGTCCTCACCATCTTCCAGGTCTGCCCCCTCCACTTCGACCCCAGCTGGCTGATGATGACATGGCAGGACCCGTACCTTCGTCAGACGGGCCGACAAGCAAGCACAAACTCAACGAGCAGCTCAGTCGCTTGTTGATCTCCGTCCCTGTATATTCCTCTCTCTTCTGTACACTTGTATACCTCCCCGAACTTGCCTGCTGCTCTCAACCTCCTCTATCCTTCATCTCTTCCTCATCGCTAGCTATGCTCAGCATCGTCTTGAGGAGTTCCTCATGCGTCTCCCACGGCATTCCGTCCACCGAGAGCTGGTCGCTCGACGTGACTCTGCACAAGGAGTGAGCTCGCACCAGGAGGGACCAGGCGCACCCGTCACGAGCTCCAGCTGCGATCATCGCCTGCAGGATGCGCTTCTCGCCGTCGAGGCTGAGAACGTGAGGGTCCGTGTGAGATTGCTGGAAGAAAATCAGCAGGGGAAACGCCGGGAGGAGGGAAGGAGTGGCGAGGACAGGGAAGGCAACTGGGAAAGGCAACGGGGAGGGGAACGAGGAGCAGGAAAGAAGGGGGAGGGGGAGGGAGAGGGAGACGGGAGGAGAGGGAGTCGGGGGAGCGCGAGAGATGGAGGAGAGTTGTTTCGTTACTATGGTGGGATAGGAGGGAGGCAGGAAGGTAATCTACCTGACTGATCATGAGGGCAAGAGCAAGGGCCCACCCTCCCCAGTTGGAGACTCCAGCAACTATCAGGTGGTCCGCCTGACGTTACAACATCAGCACAACGTTGAGCACGAACGTGAACCCTTTCCCTCACCTTCACTGTGCATGCGATCTTGTCCCCTAACGGAACATGCGCGCGAACAAGTTTGATGCGCTTGCCCATGCCGACCTCGTTGCCTCCGTCTCCCACACCCTGCCAACCCAGAGTGAGAGGAGGAGCACTTGACATGCTGCGGTACGATAGTCACGAGCGATTTGCCGTCCTTGCTCGTGCATGCAAACAGACTCTCAAGCTTGGCGATGGGAACCGAGAGCGACATGTCCCTTCCTCTCATAGTGTAGTATCCTCCATCCTCCGCCGGCCCTGCTCTCTCTATGGCAATCAGGCAGTCCAGCTCTAGCGACTCCACCAGCTCCTGCGCGTTTACGCTCCCTCCTGGGAACGAGAGGACCGGAACTGGATCGCACCCGTAACTCCTCCGCCCCTCCTCCTCTGCTGCCACGATAGGTTCACGATTGATCTCGTCCGTCATCAGCATGACTCTCTTCCCCATGCGCATGAGCGCGCGGGCGATGGCGAGGGCACCAGGGGGGCCATCGGTCTCAGTGGGGGGGGAAGAGGAGCAACATGGGTAGCCTGTGAGAATGGCGACGGCCCTGACATGCTGCAGGCTCCTCGTCGCTTCCTCGAGCTCTCCCTCCCTCAGCAGGGGCCCGATGCCCCGTCCTCCCTTGTCCTCGGCCGCCGCCTCCTCCAGCCGCTGCAGCCTCGTTGCCATGGGGAAGGAATCTGGGCAAATTGTCGGGGAGACGGCAGGTGTAGGAGGGGGGCGGGTATGGTGCGTGGGGCGGGGCAGCGGGGACGATGGCGTCTGCTGTCGCTGTGGGCGCTACTGCTGCTGTTCCCTCTCCTCTCCCTCCTAGTCCAGACGAGGATGAGGAGGAGCAGCAGACGCGTGGAGGAGGCGACGCTGGAGCATGCAGACCCAGGGGTTGCTAGAAACGAGAGCTTGATGCCGACGGTGGAGCGACTGGAGAGGCTGGTGAAGAACTTGCAGGACAAGGTTAAAGAGCACAAAGAGCTTAAGGAGATCTCGTCGAAGAGAACAGAGGTAAGAAGTTCCCCTCCTCTCCCTCCCCTCCCTCCCCTCCCCTCGCTCCCCTCGCTCGCTCGCCCTCTCGCTCCCTTCCTCCCCCCATTCAAGTCTCATGAACATTCATCGCCTCTAGGCGCAAGTGACGCAGCACAACTCGCTCCTCCTCTCGCACTTCTGTCAGCGCAGGGACTGTGCCATGCGGACGCAGTGCAAGTACAAGGAGCTGGAGCGAGGACTGAGCGTGACGGAGAAACCGAGCAAGAGGTGGAGCAAGAGGAAGAGGACGGGCGTTGAACTCCATGCAGGTACGATAGCGCTCTAGGGATGTTCAAAGAAGTTCCTTTTCAGTTCGAACCTGCTAAGGTGATTGACTGCAGTGCTCATCCTGCTCCTGCTCCTGCTCCTGCTCCTGCTCCTGCTGCTCCTGCTCCTGCTGCTCCTGCTCTTACTCCTTCCGCTGCTGCTCCTGCTGCTCCTGCTGCTCCTGCTGCTCCTGCTGCTCCTGCTCCTGCTCCTGCTCCTGCTCCTGCTCCTGCTCCTGCTCCTGCTCCTGCTCCTGCTCCTGCTCCTGCTCCTGCTCACGTTTCTTCCAGGTTTGGTACTTCTTCCCTGAAGTCTTCTCCTGCCCCACCATGCAGCGAGCGGGGCCGCTCTACGACGGAGGGAAGTAGGAGAGAGCATGCAAGGCATGGAGCGACTTGACTTCCTGGCGCCAGGTGGACTTGCCGCCTGCACACGCTCCGTCCTCCCTGCGTCATCTACTCCTTCGGGACGTGGGATGACGTGGCGTTCGAGCTGGGGGTAGAGAGTGAGATCTCCTCCCCTTCCCCCCCGCCCCCATCCCCTTCCCCTTCCCCTTCTCCTTCTCCTTCTCCTTCTCCTTCTCCTTCTCCTTCTGCTCCTGCTCCTTCTCCTGCTCCTCCTCCTCCTCCTCCTCCTCCTCCTCCTGTTCCTCCTTCTGATGTCTCAACGCTAGAGGTTGGCTGCCTCCTGCACGCCTTCGAGATCGACCCCGAGCCCATCAAGCGCATCCAGCATATCTTCGACGCGCGGCCCAACTGGAAGATTCACAACGTGGGGATCGGTGAGGGAGTGGCAAGGGGAGGAGGAGCAGGAGGAGCAGGAGGAGCAGGAGGTTGCGTCTCCTGACGGCAGGGGGACGAGGACGGAGAGGGAGAGGAGGAAAAGTATGGGAAGGGGGAAGAGGAGGAGGAGCAGGACGAGGGGCAGGGGGCCAAGGGGATGAGGAGGAGTCTTTTAGCTGCAAGAAAAGGAAGTGGAGGAGGAGGAGGAGGAGGAGGAGGGGAAGTCTCCGAGCTCCTGGTACGGCAGGAGCGGCGGACGATGCGGGAGGAAAGATCAAAACCATGAGGACGATCATGAGAGAGCTCGGGCACAGTCGGGTGAGGCGAGCCCGGGGGAGGTGAAGGTGACGCGGCGCAGGTCGACTTTGTAAAGATGGACATCGAAGGGAAGGAGTATGAAGTCGTAGAGTCTCTCAAGGGTACGACGCTGCTGCTGCTCGCTGCTCGCTGCTGCTGCTGCTGATGCTGCTGCTGCTGCTGCTGCTGCTGCTGCTGCTGCTACCACTCTTCGCTTTTCTGGGTTCTTACTCTTGATTCTGATTGCTCCTTCCTACTTCCTGCTCTGCCCTTGCTCTGTCTCACTGTCCTGCAGGTCTCAACATCCAAGAGATTGTCATTGAGGTATCGCCCCACGCAGCACTTCTGGTTCTGACGCCCCTCGCCCCAGCTGCACAACCCCACGTTCCAGCAGATGCTCCGCCTCACTAGGACTTTGGACACGATGGGCTTACAGGGTACCTCGTCCTTCACTCTCCTCCTCCACTTCTCCTGCCCCTGCCCCTTTCCGGTCACTCCTCACATGACACTGCTGCACTCAGTCTTTGCGAGGGAGGCCAACACACTGGCGTCACGGGTGGAGGACGCGGCTCAGGGTCACTCCTGCTGTTTCGAGTTCTCCTTCACTAAAGTGGAGAACGTCGACAGGTCCTGCCCTCCTCGTCGTACCCTCCTGCTAACTTTCTGCAGATGTCCAGCAGAGCTACAGCAACCTCTCTCACTGCCATGCCTCGACACCTCTGGAGTTTCCATCACCACCAGCGCCTCCTGCTAGCGGTCGCTTCCCTTGTTCGCATCCACTCAAGTCTTTCTCGCCTTGTCTCCTCCTCTTCCTCATCCTAGACTTGATATTTCACATTTACAGTCATGTACAATAAATGCAGAAGCAGCCATGCTTGTCATGTTGCTAGAATCTCGTAGCTTGCCTGTACAAAGTAGTCAGGAAAATTTCACCAGCGAAGTCGCTCGATATAAACAAGAGGAGGTCGTGGTGGTGGCGGTGGACGATATGGAGGAGAGGGGGGGGGGGCGGTGGGAAAAAAAAAAAAAAAAAAGGGGGGGGGTTGTGGGGCCCATTTAGGGAGGGAGGGGGGATTTGAGAGGGAAGGAACCAGCCTTTGCGGGCAACCGGCGGGGGGTTGGTGGGAAAAAAGTGGGGGGTGGTTGGGGGGGGGGGGGGGGGGGG